CAACAATGGAACGCGGCTCGGTCAAGTCCTGGCACCTCGCCGAGCTGTAAGTGATAATGGAGGTGTTTGGGTATTTACGCGTAGGTGAGGTCGGATATGTGTGTGCATTGGCAGGGGGAAGGGTTGTTGTTGCTGTTGCTGCTGCTGGTCGGTTGGCTGGCTATCGAAATATGATTATCGATTTGGCTGTGGCCGAGGCCCTTGGAAGCGGCGGATGGTTTTCCACAGGAGGAGAGGCAAGGGTACGTGAAAGCGGCCTGGAACGGGTATTGGCATTATATTGTTCTATGGCCTATGGAGGCCGGGGACCATTTGGCTGCAAGTTTGTATTGTTGATCGATTTTACGTGATATTTCCGAGATTTTCCGTATTTATAGCTTGGCTGCCTTCTGCCATTGTATTGTTGTTGCTCCTGGTACACATTTCGCTGCTGCCGTATTGCCGTATTTGTTGTTCCCCTTGCATTTGTTGGTATTATTGTTTTGTTCTTCTTTTTTTTTTCATTTGAAAGTTTACTTTCGCATTTTGAACGCCTCATCGCTTTGCGTATTTGCTCTGGCTGTTTGCTGCCACCACCGGCCCCTCATGCTCCCAGTTTTCCCCCATTTAATGCCGAGCTGGAAGCTGTGAACGGGGAGCTCTGGCTATGTTTGTTGAACAAATACAAATAAAATACATGCATAATTATTTTTGAAAATATAGTGTAATGAATACTGTGATTATGATGTGTTGGTTGATTATTATTACGATTATGGGTTTGGTCAGACGGATCGAATGTGTTTTATGTTGTTTGCATTCACTTAGTTGCTCCCACATAGCCACGAGTCCTGAGTTCTGCACAGGCGGGTGTTTTACTTTTGTTTCATAAAAACTGCCCGCTAAATAATTGGGGGGATTAATATTAAATAAATGCAGTGAATTCTCATCTTCCATTGCGGTGGAATTCAGGATTAAATTTACAAATCGTTTTTTTACTGTTTGTAGTGGCAAAATGCACCATTATTTGATTAATAATTATTAGTTTATGTGGTTATATTTTCATATGTAAGCTTATGTAAGCATTCAAATTGAATTAAGGGATACGAAGCTTGGAGTTTTGCCTTGCAGGATAGTATAAATGTCAGTCAGAAGTTGCAAAGCAAAATTAAATTATAATATTAAAACGCTTGGGGGTATTTGAATAAATACTAAATTAGCAAAATACCTTTTCCCAAATTTTCAATAATTAAATAAAAAATTAATTAAAAACGCCTCTATATCCTAAAAACCAAGATATTATAGAAAAAGTCATACAAGATTTTAAAACAGGGGAATATTTTATTTAATAGTCTTAAATTGTTATAAAAATCCGACTAAATTTAATCGGAAAATCTTTAAAAATGATTTGTAAACCTAATTTGTTACAATTAAATCATAATTGTTAGCTAGACAACGATTGTTGCTTTAGCAGCCAATTTAATTTCCAGGAAGCCATTGCGATTTCCCTCCAATCTCTTGGCTCCCTAAAAGCAATCCTTGCTTAATTCTTTGCTCATAAACCATTATGCTAATCAATAGGCAGTTCTTTGCATAATTTAAGGGGCCGTAAAAGGGCCAAAAGCGTAGTCTTAACGGCAGCAAAAACAACGACAACTGTGCGCAATTAGCGGATTTGGGCAACCAAAAACAAAGGCAAAGCTGGGTTCTCTCGTTTCTGAGATTGCAGAGCTGGTGCTGCTTCTGGTGGTGTTGTTGTTATGGCCGTCGTTACTTGTTATTGCAGGCAATTAAAAACGTACGCCCAACACCCTCGCACACCCAACACACACCACACACACACAGGGAACACACCCCCCGAATTGTACAAACTTTTGTTTGATAATGTTAAAGTGCCGCGCAAACAAATCAAAAAGCATATTGAAATTGGGTTAATGTACGGAGGCAAGAGTCCGGATCCGGATGCGGATACGGTTGGTCCTGGTGGTGTCCTTAGCCGCTGTTTGCTTTACGGGTTATAATCCGAAAATTAAGCGCGAGCTGAGCATTAAAATTTGCGACCCATTTCGAGGGAGGCTGCCCCTTCAGTGTCGCGACGTCGACTGTTGTTTCAAGATAAAAACTTCATGTGCGTTGGAAAAACACACGGGAAGCGAGGAAAAGGACCACGAGTGTGGGGAGTTGGGTACATAAAGTGCACTAAGCGAAAAAAGGATCAAGGAAAATGTAGGGATTCGACAGGGATAATGTTTTTAAATTAAAAAACGTATTGAAACAAATTTTAATTAATGGTCAAATACATTTCTGACTGAATATGAAGTTATATATTGTCTATATATCAGATTAATAATGAAAAGTAATTAGGCTCACTAGAAAATCATAAAAAATAAAACAGGCTAATTCCTAAATTTGTCTGTATTTTTTTTGCCAATTTAATCTATTTTATGTTAACTATTTTTCTTCGCGTGGTTGATTATTTTTGGCTGAAGCCAACGCAGAGAGAACTCTTATCGTTTTGGCCCTGGCATATGTTACGCACATTTAAAGCGTATGGCGAGTTTTCCGCTTTCCACGGCTTCCCACCTGATAGGCCACCTCCGAAGGTGGCCTGGGAATCTCTGTGCGGTGCCATGTACGTACATATACCTGACTATCAGGAAGTTTCTCACACTTCCAGGACATGTGCTGCTTTTTTGCCGTTTTTCCCCGTCTGGTTATCAATTGGCCGATTGGAAATTCCCGGATCCTTGGGCTCTAGCGTGAGAACCGAGCCGGAAATCGAGTATATACAGTTTTAGCATACCTGTGGCTCGTCGTGGTCCTTATGGGAAAATATGTAGCGGCAGCACTCGCCGCATGAGAGGATCCGACCTGGGATCGGTAGAAGGAAGCACAGCGCCGGACCCGCAACACCCACATTAGCATCGGCCCAGCGTCCAGTCTCTTGTTAATGGCTTTATGGACTCTTCAGTTCCCACTGCTGTCCGCAGCGTGGGAAACTTCCAACCTGCTGTCCCTACGCAGTGCCTTCCTCCGGGTCACTCCCTGCGCTCATCGCTGTAGTTCAAGTTCAGTGTGAAGATTTGTGTTGACTTTATTTTTAAACTTTTACCCATTTGTCTTTATATTTTGCCGTTGTGTTTGCCTGCTACAAGATTAAGGTCAAGTTGGCGGGCGGAGGTAGGGATTTGGTCTGAGATCCGGTTCATTGATTTGCTATTCGAAGCATGAGTTTGAGTTTTATTCACTTTCCGGGAAGAGAGCCATGAGTTGCTCGTGTTTCACTCTCCAGCTCTGGTATGCTAAGTTCCCCTTATCCAGTGGCAATTTGCGAAATGATTCATTTTCAACAATCTATATTTTCTGAAATATGTAAGTCTGGCATTTAGTTCAAACTACTTTCACTGCTCTTTATTTTATTTATAATTTATTATTTTATATTAATAGTTTAATTATAATAATAACCTTTATTATTTTTTTTTATGATAATTTCCATAATGAAAATGAGTGATTTATCATTAAATTCTCCTAGATTCATGTCTATAAGAAACTTTGAAATGTTCATTCCGGAAAAAGCAAATATCTTGAATGATTTTGACCCACTTAGTGTCCATAAACTATCCTATTACAGAATATTTTCCACCACATGCTCAGCCTCAACCCCCACCGGTTAACTCCTGTCCGAGTCATTTATAATAATCGCGGCCTAAATGGAAACGCCTATCCGTTTTTCCCTATTTTTCCTGGTCTTGTTCTTCCTATAGAAAAGGGGACGACCTCACTTCAGACGCGCATGTTGCCACATTTGCGTTGCGGCTTAGCGCGGCATATTCTTTAGGATTATGATCGTTGAGCAAATCTGTTGCTCCTGCGAAAGTGTAGCGGATGCCGGCGATTCCCTCAATCTCTGCCTTTTGACAAATGTTTCATTTTGGGATGCGGCAGAAAAAAATAAAGATTTATGAAATCAGGTCTAAGCTGATCGGACTTTATGCTTACCAATAAAAAATAGCATATTTCTTAGTGAATAGTTTGATAGTATTTCAAGTATTTATTTTAATTAACCACAAAGATTTACTGAATTCCGGAAGTTGAGCATCTAAAGGATAAATTTCTTTCCTGGAAACGCTTTGTCCTGGGAAACACCAACCTTCAATGTGGCCAATTTAAAAGGAAGATATATACATTATAAGCTAAATTTAAACTACGTGACCTATGTCAATAAGCCTGTAATTACGTGCAAATTCCTTGTAGTGCAACAAAGTTCTTTAAACTGGCTAGGGAAAGCGACTCAATGGGAAGCGAGGAGCAGCAGGAGCTCGCATGATTCGGATTTTGGCAAAATGCGCCAAAATCACGTTCGAAAACTATCAATGGCAAGATGCTGACTGTGGGTCATCCGAAATGTATGGTATATAAAGAGAGTCCTAACCTCCTAGCCTCTCCTTCTGTGTGTGTGCGTGTCTGTGTGGGACATCATTTGTGTTTTATGTGCTTATACAGAGACACATAAACGAATAATATATACTGTGTAGATAAAAGTCAACTCCTGTGGTGGGCCAGAGTCAACCTGTTGAATGCAAAAGTCAGGTCGAGTGAGATGGCAGCAACGTTTGCCATTCTCTCTGGAGGATCTGGCCGAATTAGTGGCATTGCGAAAGGTCAATTGCCTTGACAGGTAGAGCTCGGCTCAGCCAATAGCATGTTTTCCTTAGATCAGGTAGGAACAGCGGGATCCTTTGCAGGATCTGCGCTCGGAAACTGTTAAAACTGCTTGGCTGGGAAGGAATAATCTCAGTTGCAAACAGGTGATTGCAGGGATATGACCTACAGCTCACAGGACGACTGTTGAACTAGGATTTTAGAAACGAAACACATAAAAATATAAACTGAAAACATGACCAACCATCGCCGAGTGCGCAAGGATTGTTACGAGAGTAGATTGCATGGTCGGTTCCTAGATATTTTTTAATGACATAGTCCTGGCCCTAGTACTAACTATATATGTTTTTGATCTTTTACAGATATAGCCAAAACGTGTGCCATGAAGGAGAAAAGCAAAAATGCGGCACGCACGCGACGTGAAAAGGAAAACACCGAGTTCTGTGAATTGGCCAAATTACTGCCGCTGCCAGCGGCGATTACTTCGCAACTGGACAAGGCCTCCGTCATCCGGCTGACCACATCGTATTTGAAAATGCGCCAGGTCTTTCCCGACGGTAAGTTCGCACTGCAATTCCGTTCGGAATTTCCCGGATGCTGGCCGGAAAACTCACTTGATTGCCGCTCAATTTGTCGCCGGTCTTGGCTTTTCATCTCTGTCGTGTGAATTACGCCTTGCGGCTATGGCAAATGATGCGGAATGTTTGACAGCCACGCGACCGCCACGCTCATTATAATCCAACCTCGACGTATCCTCGCAGCAGGACATGTCCCTTTTGTTGTTTTTTTTTTTAACTCCTATTTCTGTTGAAGCTTTCAAGTTTAAACGGCAGTGTTTGGCTAAAGCATACGTTTGCGAGGACATCCCGGGGAAAACCACTCAACAATGGGTAGGCAATAAACAGAAGGATATACACAGTGGGCCGGAGAGTGGGCGGTGGGGTAGGAGGTGGCTAAAACATAATGGCGGCTGTTGTTCCACTCAAAAAGCAACGAGCGACGAGAGAGCCGGCTGGAAGTCTCTCTCCCTTCTCTCTCGTGGCCGCTTTCCCCACGTGAGTGTGCGCCGCTGAGATTTTCTGCTGACGAAGAGGGTTTGCTCGAGTGGGTTGGGATGGGTGGTGTGGCTGTCGCTTCCCATTGTTGCGGGCCGTTTTGTGCTTTTCTTTTTCCCCCTTTATTGAAATAATTATTTTAATAATAGGCAACAAACAACGAAGGAAGTGCTGGCTATATACTCATGACAATACATGGACAATACTTGGCAGAGGAAAAGGAAAAGGAAGTGGAAGAGGGAGGCTGTAGCAGAGGCAGTGGAAGTGGAAGTGGAAGTGGGTGGTTACTGCTAGTGGGCTGTGAATGGGCCACCTAAGGCGCTCGATGACTTTAATTGGGAATAATATTTAGACGTCAGCAGTGACAAGTAGGGCGGGCGGACGGTCGTGTGTTTGCTGCTGGTGGGAATTTTGCGAATTAAGGATGCGGATCCGACTCAAAGTCGAAGCCAAGTCAAATCACTATTGTGGGTTAATTTGTGGTGAAATTGTATTATTAAATTCCAATTTGATTTACTGACAATGCAAAGCTTGCTGAAATTTTATATTGAAATAATGAATTCATTTCTTGCAGGTCTTGGAGAAGCCTGGGGCTCATCGCCCGCCATGCAACGCGGCGCTACAATCAAGGAGCTGGGCTCACACCTGCTGCAAACCCTGGACGGCTTCATCTTCGTGGTGGCTCCGGATGGCAAAATCATGTACATCTCGGAAACGGCCTCCGTGCATTTGGGCCTTAGTCAGGTGAGTGCGTCGTCGTCGGTTCTTGTGTCCTGATTTATGCGCATAAATTTCCTACTGCCACCTGCCACGTTGCCTTTTTGTATCACCGCCACTTGCATTTGCAAGTCAATGGTGCGGTTGCAAGACTCCAAGTGTTCAAGAAGCCTCAATAAGGCGATTCATTTACATTTGCCAACTAATTGGCACTCGTTATCAACAAAAGAAAATGTCTGCTTCTTTTTATAATTAATTTACTCATGAAAATAGTATCTTTTTGTAGAAAAATAATAAATATTAAAAGACTTTCTCTTAAAAATTTTCCATTTTAAGGCTAGATGGACTTGGCTATTGAGGCTTATTTAAAGGATATAGCTATATTTTGTCTTTATTATCTAACCATATCATAATTGTTTTACTAGGTCGAGCTGACGGGCAACTCGATATTCGAGTATATACACAACTACGATCAGGACGAGATGAATGCCATTTTGTCGCTGCATCCACACATCAACCAGCATCCAGTGAGTATAGACTATTATAAGACAAAATAAAACAAAAAGAAAAACTGTGGCACATTTTAAATGTTGGCCCTTTTCCTCTTGCTCTCGCTCTCTCTCTCTTTGTCGCTGGACTCTGGTCTCTTTCCCACACACTGTGTCACACTACTCACGCCACAGGCTGCCTTTCTCAACTCCCTACAGCTCGCCCAGACGCACACGCCCATAGGCAGTCCAAATGGCGTTCAGCATCCATCCGCTTACGGCCACGATCGTGGCTCGCACACCATAGAAATCGAGAAGACCTTCTTCCTGCGCATGAAGTGCGTGCTGGCCAAAAGGAATGCCGGCCTCACGACATCCGGTTTTAAGGTAAGACACCTACATTTAAAAATAGGATAACTAATATCGAAATTACCAATTTGGGTATCTTTGCTAAGTGATCTAGACTAACTATAATCCTATGACTTTAAAAGGCTCTTGTTTGATTTTAAACTAGCATTTTCATTTATTTAGAGAAGTTTTTTGCAATTAAGTTTTAGTTTTAAAACATTCAAACTATTTTCATAGCCCTTAGTATTAGTAGAAGTTATTTATTATATATAGTATTTATTTTAAGTACTAATAACTCTTTTTTTTTTAGGTGATACACTGCTCCGGCTATCTGAAGGCTCGAATCTATCCCGATTGTGGGGACGGTCAGGGCAGCCTTATTCAGAATCTTGGCCTGGTCGCCGTCGGACACTCGCTGCCTTCATCTGCCATCACAGAAATCAAGCTGCACCAGAATATGTTCATGTTCCGGGCCAAGCTGGACATGAAGCTCATATTTTTTGATGCACGGTAAGTGGAGTTTTACGAAATTCATTTTAAATATTTATGAAAATAGATGACCATCTTAAAAAGTTTAAAGGAAAGCAGAAAGGAAGGATTGTTGAAGCTTACAAAAATGTTACAATAAGGGAACCAGAGTTTTTCTAACTTGTATCAGAAATACCCTCCAAGAATCCCCTTCCTATTTGTCGTACATCCGACACTAGGCAAATATTTAAAAGGGCCGCCGAATTCCTTTTTTACACCACGATAAAAAAAAACACCAGCAACCGCCCCCAAAAAGATAATGCTTTCAAAGTACTTAAAACAAAAAAGAGAATGAAGAAAAGAATATGAAAAAAGGAAATGTAAGCAAGACGGTGCGACATGACTAAAAGGAAAACAAATCATTTCCCTCTTGAGCTTGATTTTCTTTTGTCTGTGCTTTGTGTGTGTGTGTGTGTGTGTGCGAGGGTGTCGAAGGGAAAAGGACTCGGTACGGACCAAAAAACCAGCCCACTTTGTCTGACATTATTGTCACTCAATTACCCTTATGATGCTATAGCCTATAGCCGTCCCACTCTGGCGCCCTTCGCGCCGAACAACCCCAAAAGTATTAGGGAAAGCAGCCCCATTGCGCCGTTTTTTGTTGTTTCTGCATAATTGAATTGGCGTTGACAAAAGTGAACCCGGCCAAATAAAATAAAACAAACCAAAACCAATAGCGAGGGCAACACCAATGACCACTCACTGTTTGCATAGCAAAAAACTGGTGTCCTTACTCATCTCACTCATGCCGATTGTTTATTTGCTTACAGTGTATCGCAGCTAACCGGATATGAGCCACAGGACCTCATCGAGAAGACACTGTATCAGTACATCCACGCCGCGGACATCATGGCCATGCGCTGCTCCCATCAAATCCGTAAGAACATTTTACCAATTAAAACTTAACACTTCGAGTCTAACCTGCTCCTTTTTCCATTTCCTCTTCAGTGCTGTACAAAGGACAAGTTACCACCAAATACTATCGCTTCCTGACCAAGGGCGGAGGCTGGGTGTGGGTGCAGTCGTATGCCACCTTGGTGCACAACTCGCGGTCCTCCCGTGAGGTGTTCATCGTGAGCGTCAACTATGTGCTGAGCGAACGAGAGGTGAAAGACTTGGTGCTGAACGAGATTCAGACCGGAGTGGTCAAGCGGGAGCCCATTTCGCCGGCGGCCCAAGCGGCGGCAGCTGCGGCGGCACAGGCCCAGGCGGCCCAAGCGGCAGCGGCGGCGGCGGCACAGGCGGTTCCCCAGCAGCAGCCAGCAGTTGTGGTGGTTGTGGGGCAGCAGCAGCAGTCACAGTGCGCGGTGGGCACTGGCGGCCAGGGAGTGGGTCCGGGAACGCCCGTTAGCCTGGCCCTAAGTGCCAGTCCCAAACTGGATCCCTACTTTGAGCCAGAGCTGCCGTTACAGCCGCCCAATGCCGTCACTCCCGTGCCCTCGGCGACCAACAATAGCAGTAATAATAATAACAATGGCGCCTGGCACCACCACCAGCTACAGCAGCAATCCGCCAGCATGGATCACGACAGCCTGAGCTACACCCAGCTCTATCCGCCGCTCAATGACCTTGTGGTCAGCTCGACCAGCAGTGTGGGCGGCGGCACTGCCTCCAGTGCAGGCGGCGGCTCCAGCGCCTCGGCCTCGTCCTCGGGTGTCTACTCCACGGAAATGCAATATCCGGACACCACCACGGGCAACCTGTACTACAACAATAATAATCACTATTACTACGACTACGATGCCACAGTGGATGTTGCTACCTCGATGATACGCCCCTTCTCGGCCAACTCGAATAGTTGCTCCAGCAGCTCGGAGAGCGAGCGGCAGCTGTCCACCGGAAATGCCTCGATTGTGAATGGCACCTCGCCGTCGCAGACGACCTACAGCGATCTGAGCCACACATTCGAGCTGAGCTACTTTTCGGACAATAGTTCGCAGCAGCATCAGCAGCAGCAGCAGCAACAGCAGCAGCAGCAGCAACAACAGCAGCAGCATCTGATGGAGCAACAGCATCTGCACCAACAGCAGCGATTGCAGACGCATCAGCAGCAATACCAGCAGCAACAGTATGCCATGCCGCATCAGCAACAGCAGCAGCAGCAGCAGAGGGTGGTCAGTGATTTTGCAGAGAGCTTTAAGAGTGTTAATGCCGCTGCTGCGGCGGCGGCGGTGGTGGCCACGCCCCATTACACCAGCGTAATTGTGGAGCCGCAGCACTACATACCCAACGATTTTGTACATTAGCAGCAGCCTGCTTTTGTTGTTGTTACTGTTGTTGTTGTTGTTTCTAAAACAATCGAGCAAGCCAGCAAACGCGTCGACTGCCCCGCCCCGCCCTTCCGCCGGACACCCCTCGAGTCGGCGAGTTCCAAATGTAATATGTGGCTGAGCCAACAAATCTGCAGCTCTATCTTTCTGTTTCGCGGTTTTTCTTATTTATTAAAAAGTTTTCCCTCTCTGCTTACGATACCGGCAGAAAATTGATCGAAAAACGGAAATATCCTTGTTAACAAAACGCAGCGAGCAAATACAAATTCTATGATAGATCTTAGCCCTAAGAATTAACTGTAAAATGTTCATAAAAAACTAACTTTAATTCAATTGCACATACTTATATTTAAAGCCTATACATAATTATACACATGATCCCCAGATCGTGAATGCATATACGATCTATAACTATGTCTATGTATATACAAAAAATGCAAATGATTTGTAAATAGTGAAGCTCCACTATGCAGAATATGATCTTCATAAGTCAAGTAAATAATTGTAAATGTAACATTAACTATTATCGCAAATTTTTCTAATTTGAATAAATAAATTATTATGTGGGTGAACAATAATCAATAGAGTCTAATTTTATTCGAGGCGCCTTGGGCTGGCTAATGGTAATATAATTTTTTAAACTTCGGGAAGCCGAAGGCTTTACCATATACCTTGAATTTTGCAATTAGATCATTCGATCGGAGTGTTTCCACTCCGATCACATCTAAGCAATGAAAACAATTATTTTGTATTCGTTGTTAGTTTATAGGGGATTAATAATACATCAGTTTAAAATATTATATTTCTTTGCTCTAGTTTTAAACTAAAACTTACTGCCTACAATTAGTTTTTTAATTATTAGTTTGTGAAAAAAGTCGTACTGATAAGTCGTTTAATAAATTAATTAATTATGCATTCTAAAAATTAAGTCAAACTAAATGTAAATATTAAAAATTAATATTATATCTTAAATATCTTAAATATTTTGTTGTTCCTAAACTTGCAACAAAGGATAATTGCTCTGATTGTAGCAGAAAACCAAGAGAGTAAGCCAAATTAAATCAATTGAACTAATTTTTCAAAAATTTCAAGTATTTTCTCTTCACAGATTTGCTCAAACTTGGAGAATAAGACTCTCTGAACTTGAAGAAAAGATAAACTAATTTTTATTTTTGGTTTTTTAAATCTACGTTTTATTTTCCCAGTGTAAAGTAAGCAGTTCGACCCTAGGCACCCTATGTCTTCGTCTTTTATAACAGTCTGGCAGCCTTGAGACCTAATACTCGATAGCTCAAATATTCGATATATCGATACTATCGTGTCAACCCAGCTCTAGTTCCACGTCAAGCGCCGGAAAAAAAACACGACTTGCATTTATTTAATTTATCTGGCGACTGGACTAGCGAATTTGTAGCAAAATGGTGAGCCTGCTGCAGGAAATCGACACCGAGCATGAGGACATGGTCCATCACGCTGCCCTGGACTTCTACGGCCTGCTGCTGGCCACCTGCTCCTCGGACGGCAGCGTCCGGATCTTCCACTCGCGCAAGAACAACAAGGCGCTGGCGGAGCTCAAAGGCCACCAGGGACCAGTGTGGCAGGTGGCATGGGCCCATCCCAAGTTCGGCAACATCCTGGCCTCATGCTCCTACGACCGCAAGGTGATCGTCTGGAAGTCCACAACGCCCCGGGATTGGACCAAGCTGTGAGTAAATGCACGCACACAACAACAGCCTCGCCCACACAGACGGGCTGGGTTGCAACGACTGCTGGATACCCACTACTTCGATGCTTAGAGTATTCATGAAATTTCCCAATCTAGAAAATTGCTTCGATAGATTTCACCAACTCTGAACTTTTATATCAGTATTTAGTTCTTTTATTGACACAACTTTCCATGTTTATCAGCTAAGCATACTCTGGCAAAGGGTACGACAAACACTCACCCACACTTGCATAAACAGACAGATGTCGGACATATGTATATTCTAGCTGTTATCATTCAATGGCTGCCACACATCTAATCTTTGCGCTTGCCACATTTCAGCTACGAATACAGCAACCACGACTCTTCGGTGAACTCTGTGGATTTCGGGCCATCTGAATACGGCTTGGTGCTGGCCTGCGCCAGTTCGGATGGCTCCATTTCGGTGCTCACCTGCAACACAGACTACGGTGTGTGGGACGCCAAGAAGATTCCAAATGCTCATACCATTGGTGTCAATGCCATTTCCTGGTGCCCGGCCCAAGCTCCGGATCCGGCATTCGACCAGCGCGTCACCACGCGCTCGACGGCCGTCAAGCGTCTGGTGAGCGGTGGATGCGATAACCTGGTGAAGATCTGGCGCGAAGAGAACGATCGCTGGGTGGAGGAGCAGCGCCTGGAGGCCCATTCCGATTGGGTGCGCGATGTGGCCTGGGCACCATCGATCGGTCTGCATAGGTCGCAGATCGCCACAGCCTCCCAGGATCGTCACGTGATCGTGTGGAGCAGCAACGCAGATCTGACACAGTGGACTTCGAGTGTGCTGCACACATTCGACGATGCTGTGTGGAGCGTCTCCTGGTCTACTACCGGAAACATTCTGGCGGTCACTGGGGGCGATAACAATGTCACGCTGTGGAAAGAGAACACCGAGGGCCAATGGATACGCATCAACTACGAGTCTGGAACTGCCATCCAGTCTAAGCAGTCGTCACACCATCCCCATTCCCACTCCCAGCAACAGACACAACAGCAACAGTCGCATCAGCAGCAGGCGCCTTCCCATCCGGGCCCCTCTTCTGACTCGGAACACAGCTCGAACCTCTCCAACTCACAGCTCTCCAACTGAGAGAGAGTGTATGTATTTCAAGCGCAAGTCGTGGTCAAATGTTATCTTACAAATACCTATAAAATATACAATGTAATGTTCCCCTATAGTTTGTTTTACTATGTTTTTATGATGCTTTCGATGCGTTATGCTTTTTAGAAAGCTTTTAAAAGGTTAATTAAAAGGCAAGATAATTTTTTAAACAGCAATTAAAATTTGTAAATGTCGAAAGTATTATAATAATTATAATAAAACTTCGTTTAATATTAAGCTGCGTTTTCAGCAGTGATTTGCAATTCTAGAAAGGATTTGATTGGCTCACTCTAATTTCTTATAATTAGCATTACGCAGGCTTAGAGTTCGAGAGTTCGAGGGCCCTAATGTACTACGCTTTGTAATTAATACGTCTGCTTGAAGGAAAAGTAATCACGGACTCCTTGCGAAATTGCATAGAATTAACCTCCTTTTATGGTACATTGACTTGCGTCTACGTTTAAGTCGCTCTGATAATTAGTCATAGATTAGGCGTAGTTCCATGCTTCGGAGCCCTAGTGGAGGTGCGAAAATTGAAAATCCATGAAAGCAATCGGTCCAACCACAAAGAAGTGCCTAGTGTTTAGACGTGGTAAGTAATTTTTCATTCATGAGAACGGAAGTTACCCATTTCGGGTAAATTCGGGACACGTGCCGCGATAAAACGCGAAACAAACAAATAAACATTTAGCTGGAGCTAATGCCCAAAATGGAAGGTGGAACTACTAGGTGGCACTGCACTGCATGTTGAAGCTCCTTAAACGGATTATCTCGCTTCACACGGTTTTCAGAAGTTTTTCATTTCGAAGCACTTGACTGCCTGCCCGAGGAGTGCATGTAGCTGCCAGGATTATTTATCGATTAGATAATATAAGATTATACTAAACTTACTTTATTCAAGACCAACTTTCAAGTCTTTGTTTTCAGGTATTAAATTTTGGTAGAAATTTACAACAGCCTTGCATTGTTTCTATACCCTGGCAGGGTATACACTTCTTATTATTTTAATTATAAAATAATAGTAAGGTTCCTTGGCAAACACACAATATTGCGATATGGCCCTGTAAATCATTTTAATTACGGACTTCTTTTTCCCCAACTGACTCATTAATAATTTAAAAAAAACCCAATAATTTAAAAACCCAAGTCGAATGGCTTCTTTATGGCAGTGAGGCGAAAGGTCAGGCATTTACTCCGAGATTTGCCGTAATGACAAACAATTGAAGTTTGCATGTCCGGCAGGGAAATCGTAGCGGGACCCAACGCCGCCCAAGCAAATCCGGGTCCGGTAAAATTGCATTTTAATAATACAACAAGTGAAAACGCGATTAAATTCAGGCAGTTTTTAATTTGAATTCCAATTAAGGAATGTCACTCAAGCCGTCTGGGCCGGACTCCCAAGACAGGTTCACTGCTCTTGAGGAGCACAAAAACGTATTAGAATAATTAAGTGAGGTACATTTGAATTCCTATGGTTTCCCTATGACTTTTTGCTGGTGTCCCAGGGATGCGGTGCAGAAACCCCAACTGTCCCGGCCCCCGGCAAAAGTGTGAGCACTCCAAGTAATTGTGGGTCAGTTCGGGAGGTGCAATATTTGGATACGAGAGCCCGAACGAGGCCCGGCCGACCACTTTGGTGATGTCATGGATTGCGTGCAGCGGAGCCGTCATCAATGGTCGAGGACTCGGCTTGGGTAATTTGGTTGAAGAAGTTTTTGGCGCTTTTGGGCCACCATAAGAAATGGTCGTAACCCATAATCAGTGCGGTTTAATCGTGTTCCACCCGCGGGAAGTCAGAGCCGCTCCGACTCCTTCAAGCCCTTCTCCAGCGGTGAAGGCATCTCTCCCTGTACTGACCACATTGCTCCGCTGGCCTGCATTGATTTTTTTTCGTACGAGTACACTCCATTCCTGGGCTTTCGGGTTTTATGGTTCCTTCTACTAGAACTTTCACTTTTTGATGTGCGTAAATTTGCATATTTGTCGGGCACTGTACCACCCCTTTGATGACCCCTTCCCAACAGAGCTGTGGGTGAGTAATGAATAACGTCCGACGACGATGACGCCGCCACTAATGAGTTTTTGGCTTTCGCCTTTAGATAGGTCATTGGAATCGTCATGTTTTATCAAAATTAAATGGGAATCTGAAGTTTTTTCGGGTTATTTATATACTCTATAGGCAACTTAGGTTGTTCACTGCCAGGTGTACGGTGGTGGTTGGGTAATGCCATCTCGTTCTCGACGTGCTACTTGTTAGGGCGACAAGTTAATAGCTCCATAAACAGGGTTTTATGTGCTCTGGGCTGTTCATATGCATTTAGACAGCTTCGTTCTGCCGCTGAGTCGTTATTTTGTAATTATTGGATGCAATCATATAAGGTATTCCTTGACGAATAAAGTCTGAGCAAATGGGTTTGTCATATTTTCAGTATTGTATATTTAAAGTAAAGAATACCTGGTTTGCATTGCGTTCAAAAATGAATTGTGGTATACTAGTTCCAATTGTAAACTTAATAACCTTGCTAAGAACTCAGTTATAGTGTTTGCTCAGTGTGCAATTATATATATTTTTAAATAAATACCTTATTGCCTTATTTCCCTTGTTAATCCCGTATATTTTTTACTACCTAAATCGTACACTAGTTTAATTATAATCCCCCCTAAGGACTTGTGGGCTTAGGCCATGACGTCTTAACCTAACCACGCATGAGTTATTATAATAAGTTCGTGAGCTTTAGCATTTCGCAGTTATTTTTATGTTTTCAGTCGCTCGGAGTTGTTTTGAGAGCGGCCAACATGACATGCGAAATGGGCTGTTTGTTCTTGGGGGGCAGACCTCACTGCGTATACGTAACGGGCAGCGGTCCGAGTCAAAGTCAGAGGCGAAGGCGAAGGCAGACCGAAAAATGTCCCCTAAAAGTGTCGCCTCGCTTGCTAAAATCAAGGTGTTCATTAACAAATGAACTTGAAACAATCCGCACAAATATATATACATATGTACATATGTATGTATATTTGGCATGCATTTGCCTGCATTTAGCGGCCGAGTGGGGAATGATAAATTGGGAAAGTCATGGAAAGGTTATTTGGTCAAGTGTTGGCCCAGAGACAAGGCTATAACAAGTAGCCAGTATTAGCCATCGTCTTGCATGCAACTTTCGATGGCAGCAGTGGAGGTTGACCTCCTCCTTGGCTCCTCCTTGGCCACCTTTTCGGGGGTTGCCTGGTGTGTGCATGTCGAGGAACGCACGAAAACAAACTTGCATGCGGGGCAAAGTCTCTGCGTCCCTCCATGTGTGTGTGCAATTAGACGTGGCCATAATATGGAATTAAAGGACCTAAATTGGCATTTTTTCAAGAACCTAATGCGGAATGGGGCCGGGCTGGGCCGGACTTGGAGTAATAATCAGCAGAAATATGATGACCTCTAGGCATGAGTACACCCCGATGAGATTTCGTGAGAAAATTATATATCGCAGGGTTCGGCCCCTAGACGGAGAAATTCTACAGTCGCCGCACTAATTAATCATCAGTTAAGACCAAAAACATGACGCCCAGATTGTTGAAAGGGAATTAGTTCTTTAATTACAATCGCCCTTTACGCGGGAAAATCCTGAGGCGGTGCCACCGATTCGCTGCAGTCTCTCCGATTTGGGTGAAAGATTTCGTGAGTTTTCTATATAATTTTTCTGCTCGTTTTCCGTTTCTGTGCTGTGGCCAACAACATTTATCAATAATGTCAAGAAATAAATATCCGAAATAAATTTTGGACTGTGCCGCATGGCGAATTAAATCGAGCTGCCGGCATGCCATCTCGCCTAAATAATAATTAAATACATTTATTTATACTTACAAGTATTTCACGTTGTGTATTGTATATATTTGGTACGATTTGCGTAAACGCTACTGTGGAATAAATCAACGTTAAGTCGCATTCATTAATGTCATTTTTAGAGCAGAAATAAAAGAATTCAGTTCACTAAAGACACGATTAATATTCCAGGTAAGTCGAGAAGGTTCGAAGAAAACTCTCAAGAATTATTAAAAATATTATAAATGATCAGATAAATAAATAGGATAAAGAGAAATAATCAGATTAATAAAGAAAAAACTAGCAGGCTACTTACTACTTAAATAATTTTTTAGGTTTTAAAACAATCCCTTAAAAACCCCGTAAGATGTACATTCCCACCCATGGTCCTTGAACCCAAAGTAACGTATCCTAATTAGTTATATCCCACCGATATTTGTGTGAATATTTTCTGGAAAGCCCTTCCGTTTGCCGTGTGCGTGTGCCAAATGAATTCGCTCCGATGGCGCGCGTTTAGTTAAGGGAAAATTGTTTATGCTGTCGCAGCGATTAAAACAATCGTTTATAAGGCGATCGCGGCGGCAGATAAGGAGCCTGCCTCCACGGAGCTTGACATTTTCCACAATCGGAAAAAGGGCCAAAAATAAACGAAAGGAATTTGTGTAAGCAAATTGGGCAAATGTTTCATGTCAGAGTCGAGCCAAGCCTGAGGTCCACTCTGACCTCAAGGTGTTCCTTTTAAAGGTAACATGCAGTTTGCTGCGGAGGCTAGGGGAAGGAGGCCTAAAAGACAACGCCAGACATGGCCGAAAATTCCGCATCCGTTTCGTTTTCTGTTTTTCGGCTGTTCGATATATCCACCTAAATAGTGATTTGTGAAATTGGGCTGGGGGCGTGGCCTGCAACCTTTCTTGTGTGCGGCTATTTCTCGATTTCAGTTGAAAGTTGAAAGTTTTAAGCAACAAGCAACCCACTCATCTGGGCACTTCCAGAAACGTAATTAGGGCCATGCACCCGCCCAGAGAAAACCCAGCACTGTACTACCAAATAAAATGTTTGGTTTTTTGTTATGTTAAAAATGAAACAAAAACACTCAAACTTCAATTTTCAATTAATTTGTAACATTTTCATGAGGTTAAACTGAAAAGTTATGAAATATTTCTTTGTATTTTTGCTTTCTTTGAAGAATTTCATAAAAATGTGGTAATAAATAATATGAAAATCAATGAGATACATTTAAAAGATGTCACCCTGTAGCTTAGTGTTGTAGAGAGCGAGGGCAAGAGAGAGCGCCGAGGAATAATGGCCAAAATAACTATTTGCCTTTGACTAACCAGTTTTTGTTGTTGTTTTTGGTGCGTGCTAATGTTACACTTTATTGTTGGGCCAAAACTCTGCGGGCCCCAAAAAGTAGGCTATGCAATGGCTCTAATGCCTCCGTCATTATTATAACACACACAGCTACCAGCACACCAGCTAACCGTACAGCAAGACGAGGACGGGACGAGGACGCTGCTGCCACCACCAACAACAGTTACTACAACCACATAGAAATGCACGAAGGCAAAGCCAAAGCACCAACTACCAACTACAGGTAAAAATCCATCTTCGTTAACCAAAACCCGCTCACGAAACGACGAAGCAGTTACAAGTGCGTCGGAGTCGGAGCTTGCTTACCATACAACAATATATGCCGAACCCATCCATCCTGCCCGCCCAAATTATACGGAGCCAGCCGCTAGGCAAGTTCAAAATCTACCCGCAGATTTGCCTGCCCGCCTCCTCTTAGCCAAGCGGAACATTAATGTAGTGGAATACCCTTCGCCGGCCCGGGGGATCTCTTAATTATGCATGCAGGCAGAGGCAGGTGACTCTCCTCCTGGAATCGGATTTTATGGATGCCCTGGAATACGTGAAATTATTTGGGCTCTCCTGGATTTAGATAGTGCGTAAAAATAATTTGTTTTGTCCCAAAATTGAAGACAGATCTTGGCAGCAGTTAAGATTAAAACCAATAAATCTGATTTGTTTAGTTCCAATTTGTTTTTGGCCAAAATTTAATCCCCAATAATATGAATATTCATTAAACCAGTATTTCTGTTTGCCAATTTTGTATGCAACGCTTTCTCTTGAGATATATCTTTTAATTAAAACAAGTTCGTTGACGTATATCAACAAATTAATGGGCAGAAATGAGAAAAAATTGATTATTTTGAATACAATTCTGGGAATAAAATAATAGCCAAAGGTTGGCATTAAATATGTAATTTATTGTGGTCCTTGAAATCAATATTTTTTGTTAACTAATCATTTCTATTTAGTTTAGTTGAGCAAATTCAAACATATTAAAAACAAATATACAAAATATACAAATTAATTAGAATTTCCTTAGCAAAGAGTATCTAGGTAACGCCATAAACTTTGGCTCCGTGCTGGGAAAGGGGTTCGCTTCTCGGACGAGCAGCTGTGGGCTTTGGGGGTGCTTCAAGGAAGGCGACGGGCAGGTGCTAGGGTGTGAGCCTTACTGAGTGTGTGCCTGTGTGTGGGGCGTCGGTGGCGATGGTGTGCGCGAGCGCCAAGTAGCCCAGCGAGTCAGCAGCGACGTCGCCCCAACTTAAGCTCCGTGTGCGCCGCGAATTCTTCACTTGCATTTCGAACGCGCAGGCGACTGGTTGGAGCTACCGTCTCAAGACCTCGAGACCTCTAGACCTCGGGACCTCAAGACCCCATCGAAAGGATACAAGTACCCCAAATACCCACACAGTTGAGGAGATTTTTGTCGGAGTGACGCCTTCCGTGCGGTTTTATTTTGCAACGGACTTTCTTTCCAGAGCGGAAACAATTTCGGTGTGAAAATTTGCATAAAATTACCTCGCGAAACCAGCAAAGGAAACAAAGACGTTAGGGAAACCGATTTAAAGCCTTTTGGGCAGTTCTCGAGCTTGCAAAGTGCGTGAGAAAGTTGTCGGTGGCCCGCGATTTTACATAACACCCGAATTACCGTCGTCTCCGGGGAGGGCAGCAGCGGCTCCATCTCAATCTTAGTCTAAAAATCTCGACCCGAAACCCGATAAATTTCCACGCTAGCACCCTCGTTCCAAAATGCAGCCCCTGAAGCGTTTTACACAATGCGGCAGCCTGACCATGCTCTTCGGCATCTTCATCATCCTCTTCGGGGTCAGCTCCACGGCACTGACCACCTTCGGCAAGACCAACAACGGGCCACCGCCCACGCACCTTCCAGTGGGTAAGCAGAGTCCTCGACCAGGTCCTCATGGGGGTTGGCCATAAAAAATCAAATCGAAGTCCAGGCTGCCAAGGTCAAGAGAGGTTTCTGACACATTTACATTCACAATCAAAAATTTCACTGCCTAAGTTGCAGGGGTTAATTATTCCGTGAAACACGGTAACAGTTTTTGAATAAATTTCCAAAGGAAGAGCTTGAAGGATTAAGGTCCTACAAGTGATTTATTTAAGATATTATTTAACTTTATTTAATTGTTACATTTTCTGTTCGGATAGAGTGCTAATATAAGAGGCTTTATATGGATTAATGTGATGAAATTTGGTTGAAATTTGACTGCTTTATTAGTGTGTTTAATTGGATAATTGAATAATACAATTAGATTATTTAAATGTAATATTTAGATAATTAATTAGATAATTTAATAACACACTTAAACATTAATTTAAATCTTTTTATATGGCGTTTTTTAAATAAGTTATATTTAACGTGTTAAAGTGTGTGGCTTCCAAAAAGAAACTAGATATTTATTAATTAATTAACAAGGTTTTCCTTCGTGCAAATTAAAAGTTCAGACATAATTAGTTGAAGACAAAGATTCAGACAATTTAAAAACCTTAAAGAATAATATAATAAATATTAGAAACTTAATTTTTTGTAAATTATCAATGAAAAATGGATGTATATTCAAAAATACATATCTTTTGAAAATGTTTATAAAGAAAAAATACATTAGAGCACTTGAAACATGTAGTTAAGATTTTAAGAGATTTTATTTAAAATTTCTAAGTATTAAAATTTCAAATTTATATTTATTCAATCATATTTCTCAAGCTTAATAAAATACCCAAAGAACTTACAATCTGCCTTAAGATCCATAATCAATCGCTAATTAAGACAGCTTAATGAATGCTAATATGAAAGGCAATAATTAAAGTTGGCTCGAGCTAAGCATTTGTCATTCGATTGACTTTGGAGCAACCGCCCACAGATAAATGGAATAATAATTATGGCAAAGAGCCAGCAATTGAATGACACGACACACAACACAGTACTAACACACAAATCGAGAATTGATCAAACAAGTCACTCAAGTGCAATGACAACCCACGCTCCGCACAAATCAGGGACATTAGAAGTGGGCTCGGGGCTGGTAATAGGACTGTGATTGGAGTTGGCAAACAGTATTGTGTGCCGAGAGGCTAACCGATGATTTGTGCCGACAGCGGGTCGGGGCAGGGTCACAGTAGTCACACAATTAGCAGGCAATTAGTCAAACAAACTGATAGTCCAATTGTTTGTTCTTGCCCCCCAACCCCCGTCCTGATTTGATTTGCTTGCCTTTGCAGTGAAAGGACGCGAGTGCTCTGCCCATGATGACTGTACGGCGATAGATCGCACCAGCTGCGTCAAGGATCCGAACGACTACAAGTTGCGTTGCCTCTGCGGCGATGATACTGCTCCTGCAGGTGGCAATTGTCCAGATGTCCTTAAAGGTAATTATAAGCATTATAGTTTATTCCTTTGTCTATAGCTTAAGGATAATTAAAAGCATTTAGTTAACTTACTTAATATATTGTCGTTTTCCAATTACCTTTTTTTTAATAGACTAAAAATATATAGCTTGGAAGTGAAAAATTGGTCAAATATATAGAAATTATTACGCAAATCCTTTGATTAATTAAAATAAACGGTTTAGGGATAAAAATGATTAGTTTTGCTACCTAAACCCATACAAATCTTAAGCAAAAATCCTAACAAATATTTCTTCAAGAGTTTTGTATATCAAGCTTAGTTTTTTATAACTTTCCCAACGTTATTGTTTTAAATAAAAGATTCTACATACTGTTCCAAATTGTCTTGTTCTCCGCCCAACCAAGGATTTCTTTGAAAAATCCTTTAGCTAGATGCTGGAAATAGAACAGCCAACAAAAAGTCAACTTATTGCTAAGACATGCACATTACATTTATTATTTAAGAGGCTCCGCTGCTTTCTCGGAGGCCTTCTCTGTGATGATGTGCCTCAAGTGGCAGCCAGGTGGATGAGTTGCAGGTGATGTGTCCAAGGCGCCGCCTAAATGAGAATTAAACAAAGCATCCATCTAGGTGGATACTGCCAGGGCCCCCTTGGCCCCGCTCCCCGCTCTGCCCCGCTATTTGCGTTCTTATTTATTTAGTTTTCGTGCGCAATTCACACTTGTTCTCCTTGTGCTGCTCGCTCGGCGTCTTGGCTCCGCGGATCCTTGGGTCCTGCGCCCTCCATTGTTGCCCTGCCGGCAGGGCATACTCCAACGCGGCGTGAAAGGCTCTCTCGCTTTATGGCAGCGCAATGTCGATGTCGGATTTATGTTAGGATGTCGTGACTGCGACTGGGGAGCCCAAACGAGGCGGCCAAATGGGAAGCAAATGGTAATGGGAATCGCCATCGCCGCAGTGCCAATTTGTGACATGCACAGCCCCGAGAAAAGTGCCATATGCGACATTTGCATGCACATGTCCGGTCTCTAGAGTCTTGGCATCGGGTATTACTTCCTAAGTGACAGATCCTCGTCCGGAGGATTAAGAAGAAGGGGTTTGAGTAGAGCAGATTAGCTGTCAGGGTTTCTTGATTGCTTTTGTTGTAGATTAACTATACTTGATTTCTTTTTTCATTAGGAAAAAGGTATTGTAATTGTTATTCTTGTATCCTTGGAACCTTGCAGGCCTGCGTCACAAGTGCAACAGCAACAACGACTGCGAGGACGGAATGGTTTGCCAGTTCGAGAATAGTAACCGCACCATCGGCGTGTCCAAGTTCATGTCCAGCAAGACCAAGCTGTGCCTCTGCGACAACGACAACGGCTACGTGGAGGATATCCTGCACGACATCTGCAGCGGAGGTCCTGCCAAATAATTTTAATTAATTATTATTCCTTTGTTTTATTTCCTTTGTTAATTTTAATTTCATAAATCGGACAATACCAATAACCAGTTTAACTGTACTGAAAAATCACGTTATACAAGTACGAAAAGCTTATAATTGCTTCTTTTCTTAAATTCTAAAAAATATAAAACAAATTCTATACCAAAATCCTAACAACTCTCTCCGACTTGCAGCCAATCTCAATGCCCTGGTCAACATCCTGATGTCGATCTGTTCCCTGCTGGCGCCCTTCTTGGTCTCCGCCCAAATGCGAAAGCATTTCTAGGAGGCGACCGTACGAGGAGGAGGAAGAGGAGGAGTTCGGAGTCGTAGTTTGGCGTTTATCTCCCCTAGTGATCCATCAAATGTGCCTCAGTGAAACCAACATAAACCAAACATCATCAGCCCCAGCCCCTGTCCCTCTCGCATGTGAACCGAGCAGAAGATCAAAGTCTTCGGAGAAATAGAGAAAACCCCAAGCGGAAAGTAGGAAAGTTCAGTCGCCATTAGCCTAAAGGTCGTTCTATTGTATAAGTTTCATATATACCACCGTCAATTTTATTCGCTTCTCACGGAAAGTTGCGTTATATATATACAACGATATACATAATTATATTATCTGATAAATGTTTTCTATAGATCCCCTCTCGACCTTAGTCAGTACCCCGTACACTAGTCAACCAGAAATAACTTTAGTGGAAACGTTTTGCACCATTTTATTGTAATTTTATATGTACGTGTGTCCAAGAATAATAAACAAGAAACCCCGAAAAGGAAATTATACATAATGATAGGCAAACTTATCTGCAGCACTGTGATTCAAATCGCTTGACATCGCAATTATAAATGTGAAACATTTTAAATTTTGTATGTATCCAACCTAAAATAGCTTTACGAGCTCATAGCCCACAATCAATACAGAACAAAATAATAATAATGAAATAAAAATGAAATAAATAAATTTATTTATAAAAAATGTAAGGTTCAAGGCCGCTGCATACGGGATTTCTGGTCTCTGATTGCATCTTTCGGTTGCAGGGCCGGCTAAGAACTTCACCCATTAAAACCGTTTTCTCTGTAGCTGTATCTATATTATTTAATAAAACTCTTTAAAAAATAAATAATGTTTATTATTCGGTGATTTATTGGGGTTTTTGAAGGTTTTTTTAATATTTTTAAATATTTTTAATATTTTCTGGCAATGCATATGAAGATTCACCTAAAAATCTTAATATGCATTGCCGGAAAATATTAAAGTTTAGTTGTGGAATGTTTTCGAGATTTAACGCTACTTTTACCCTTATTTCCTGATACGTTCCCCCTTCTCCAGTTCCTTTTTATTAACACTCTAAATGAATCGGTTATCCAACCTTCATCTTTAACCCAACCAGCGAGATAAATGCGCGCGGCATTGATTATAAATAGATTGGTACAGATTTAATGCAGCATAATAGTTATCAATATGTAAACAAGTTGGCTATTTTGTAATGCCAACACCTTTCGCCTGGCCCCAATCGAGGTTTACTTTCAAATATCTCGCCGAAAAGCGCGAGAGAAATGGGGAAACTGTGCGAAAGCTTTCCCCGCGCCAAAGCTCGGCTCTCGGCGCCGACGAAAGCAAACAGCGCCACGCTCCGCTCCCACAAACAATTGCACGATCGGTGCCGAGGAGCGGTGACAACTTTCGAGGGCTTTCCGGGCCTCGAGATCTGAACGGGCCGCAGTAACGCCTATTTACTTAACCGATCCGGCTGTGCGATCAGCCACCTGCTCGCCCGTGAAAAATCAGACCTAAAACTCTGCGAGTCGCGTGTGTGCAAGAATCAAGATAGATACTCGCAGAGATATAGACGTTTATGGCCTGCATTCGCGATTTGCATGCGAACTTGACTCGACTCTCGGAGTGGTGCCGCATAAATATTCATCGGCATCAAACATAGTTATTAGAACGCACAGACAATGAAGAACTGGCAGAGTAAAAATTCAATTTGAGGTGTGCGACGCGCGCCAAAGTTAAAGCGAATAAAATCACATTTCCGGTGGCACCAAATCGTTTTGGGCCAAATTCAATAGAGAATAGACAGCAACTGGCATTCCAACTATAATTGGGCTATTTGCGCCCCTTTCCCCTCAACCACACACACACCAACAGGGGTGAGCCACATTTTTCCAGCCTGACATCAGGCCCAGATGACATCCAGATGTATTACAGACATTTCGAGATATTAAATGGGGCAACCTGCAAAAAAACAGTTGTTAGAGAAAATTCCCATTGCGAGTGTCGTAAGTCAGATGCGGCTATCTGCTTTTTAGCAGCTCTTTTGGGCCCAAATTCATTGACGCAATTTGGACGGTCGATTAACGTTTAACACTAAACGATTACCAATTTGTTTATGACTACCCTTTAGCCAAATCCCTATGCTAATTGGCCTCATAAGATCCCATAAAATGTGCTAATTTTATGATATCCTCAATGAAGTGTCAATTAAATGAATCATTTTCGATAATATTCGCATCTCCAAGATGCTAAATCTGAAATACGCACTCAGATTAACTTGGTTATTTTTAAGCTGTTCTAAGAATGAATTTCGTACTAAATTTGGAATTGTTTTCACTGCAACAAGACATGCGATTTATGGCATGCGGCAGTAAGAATTCGTCGTTAGATTACGTGACGGAAACGAGGGAACGTGTTTAAAACATAGGTTCCCTAAATGGGTGGGTTAGTTAATCCAAACACGGAGTAGCTGTCGTCGTCTAGCCCATTTTAATTGCTCAAGAACCTTCAGTTACCAAAGAATAGGGAAGTGGCTCATAATTTATCAAAAAGTTCCCTAAACGGAGACCTATTTTCTATACTCTTCTTACAGATCAGGAGTATTTCTTACTCCCCCCTTTCACCTCTTAATCATTCTGATTATTTCCGAAATATTCTCAAGTGCCTCAAGCTGAACCTATCATAAACTGCGGCTTGAACTGGTTAAGTTCGGTTTTGATCACTTTAGATATACTATAAGCGTCGTGGCACATCTTAAACAATAGCTAAAACGAACTCAATGAAGAGATTTCAAGATATTTGGCTGGTTGTATGATAAGATTCCGCACAGATTCCAGTTGTGGTTTCCTTTGATGCGTAATCGAGTCGAGGGAAACGCGTTTTGCATAAAAATCGCAAACTTATCAAAAAACTGCGCGCCATCAAATATAAACATTCGAGTCATAAATATTCAAAACAAATCAAATAAAAGCCGGTAGCAGTTCCCCCCTGAGACCAGACCTAGACAGTCGCTGATATAGATGAGGAAACCCGTTTAAAGAGGTTCTAAATTCATTTACCCTGCGATTAATCACCCATTCAGTCAAATAATTATGAACTAACAAGGGAATTGTAACTGTGTCTCCGTCTCCTATAAGGTAACTTTAGTTAGTTCAGCTGAATTCTGTTTGTTTTAGTTTTTGAGTATCACAAAGTGCACACTCTCTGGCTGGCGACCAAATTCATTGTAAATAAACTGCAAGACTGCCAAATTCTGGGAACACCGAGTATAAACAAGCTATTTTTATGCCCTGACATTGACTTAAACAATTGAGCCATTCATGAAAGAGGCCAAAAAGAAATCTGAAATTAGTATACATATTGGATTAGTTGTTAGCACTGTTTTCTGGAAAAAAATAACGTTCATTTGCAGGTAACAAAGTGCCGAAAGATATTTAAGAACAGATTCCAACTACCTCATTTCCTAAATAACTACTCCCGATCACGTTCTACTAGTAAAGCTTAAGGTATTATCTTTCTATTATCCTTTAAAATGTGTAACATGCAGTTATCTGAACCAAAATGCTAATATAAATGCCTCTGAATATGGTGTAACATGTTGTATACGTGATTTTCTTGCCATAGTCTCACATTTTTGCCAAAACCAAACCCTCCTAAATACAGCTTTCAGATACACGGATAGGTATATATAGGAATCCGCAATCTAAAAACAAACCGAACGCATTTAATTGAAATGGGCGACAGTTCGTTGGCCGTTGCTTTGTAGAAATTGTTCGCTACGCCCTATGAGATTTGGAAGTCATGCGAAATATATTTCGAAATTGGCCCTGTAATTTGAGCCGTAAAACAGTCAAATGAAAAAACAAACAAACTGGAAACAAGTGGACGGAGAGCAAAAACTGAACAGCGAAATGTAATTGATCAATTAATTGAACATTTGTGCTTCCTGTTGACCATTTTGCGGGCTTATTAACCAGATTGTGAGTTTTTAGACACCAAATTTAAGGGAACATCACTAAGGGGCATTGAGGAAAGTCACGAGTATTTTAAGGAATTATCGCAGCTAAAATGTGTTTACTTTTGGGGGGACAAATTTCCATGGCAAAGGTCACACACCTGTCGAGGTGCAAAGTTCGAACACGTGTGTGCCTCAGGGCGGGCAGCTGTGTAATATTTAAGTGCGTATGAGCAAACTTTAATTGAATACAATTATTATTTTGTCGAGGAAGTTTTAATTTGAAGGCAATTAGCTCAAGTCCAGTCCCGGTGATTTCCAGTGCCATCCAATTGACTTACACGCCCACATTTCGCACAAACTTGCTCCCCCACCCACTCACCTTCACAGTGTGTGGCTCTTAAATAGTTAAAAATAAACCAAAACAAAGGGAAATGCCTTTGGAGAGTGTTCGCGGCGGTATTGCAAGCGCCAGCTTGTTTGACATCATCCAAAATTAGCTTAAAGACTCGCCAGAAGGAGCGTCCCCGCAAAGTCACAGTGGTTCCAACAAGATCAGCTCATTGAGAGCTAAATGAAACCAGTTACCGGCGTCTTGACGTATCTATCTTTAACAAAAAAATAATAATAAATTAAAATAAATTTATAAAAATGAATGTGTTGTTGCAAATAAACTATTTGCCACCTGACCGATAGTATCAAGTCATTGGACTGCGTTTAGGAAACAAAATGCACAACAAAAAAGCCACAGAAAAGCTACAAAAAAGCCCCAAAACATAAAGTAGTTTCAAAACGTGTAAGAAAGTTGAGACAGTTGAGATCAGACCTGAAAGATACTCAGTAAAAAAACGCTATTTCAAGTTTCACAAATAAATTATTAAGTAAGCATTTGTTTAAAGTTTTTCAATGTAGTGAAGGAGCCAATTCCGACCCCATAAACCATATATAAATTCTTGATCAGCATCAACAGGGGAGTCTTTCTAGCCTTATAGTGAAGAATAAAATATTTTTAAATTTTTTTCAAAATTTGATAAGGGGTTACATTGTTAAAATTCTCGGAAACCGGCAAAATTTTATTTTTGAAAAATATTAAATTCAGTTGGCAAATTTGTTAACCTAAACCTAAACTAACACAGACCTGTATTCCGATTTAAGATCAATGCATTTTTGGCTTAGTTATGATAGTTTATTGAAACTCAAAAATGACTTAGTAACTGAGTTTCCAAAGTTTTTGCGAGGAGAAGTAAGAAGAGTAAACTCAACTATTAAACTCAATATTTATTCCATAAAAACGCTTTATGTACCTGTTTTATTATCAAAAACTTCATTAGGCCTAATAGACCTCTCAAGCAGTGAGTATCAGTAACGAAACCGCCTGCTTCTCCGTCTTTGAACTTGGCCAGACTATAAAGACACTGATATTTATGGCCTTTTATCATAAACAGCCCGTTTCAATTAATTTAAATATTTCCATTTGTCACAGTATCAGCTGTCTAGGAAGCTTTTTGGCAAAGTTAGCTTGAATTTAAATGTTCATCTCGAATTCCAAGTGCAATGCTTCTGAAAAATGCCGTAAATTAGCTAGTTTATATCCATGTGGCAAACTCTGACGGTTGCTTAGAAAGTTTCAATCTGAAACTAAATGAAAATACACGTTTTACTCATACCAAATGTGACAACTTTTTGAATGCATTTTGGTTTGGGAATCACACACTTTTATGCATTTACAAACTCATCTTGCACAGAATTAACGTTAATGCCTATCTTATGCCTCGAATTTCCATCGGAAACCTATTCGACCCCAAGCTGTCGCTACGCCGTGCATTTAAATATTTATTTACCCATGACATTTTTTGGTATCGCCTTTTGTTTGCCTAGCCTGGGGTCTTCGCTTATATAGTGTCAAGTTCATCTCTGAGATATTCAGAATACTTGACGCAACTATTTCAACGGCGAGCTTGGCAAGGGCTTAGATTTCATTATTTGAATGTCTGGAAAGCTCAGCAATGTGGAGAAATAATAAATAAATTTCAAATTATAAACCAAATTATTATAATAATGAATTACACAAATACTTAAACTTTTATGACTCAATAAATCCCATTAAAGTATTTAGGATAATATTTTTAAAAACTTTCCGACAATGACTTGAGTTTCTTTAACATTTTTGAGTTTTATTCACTTACAGAACCTTTAAAACTTTTGGGCACTTAAAAAGTGACTCAAACGTATTACAAAATGGATTAAATGCACCTAAAGTATTTCTAAAATAATATTTCTGAATTTTAATGACTCCAAACAAAGGACGTTTTAAGAAAAATATGCAAAGCCACTTTCAACGATGATAAAAACCAAGTCTGAGCCAGAAAGTATTGCTCTATTCGAGAATATCTCTACAGGTTTCCATGTGCATGGCCGAGCTACTGCACTCGGTCACGCATTTAGACAGTGATTTCGTCTGCAGCAGAGTGGTCCGGTCCAATCTGGTTTGGGTCAGCCAAAAGGTCTTAGCACATTACCTGGCCTCGCAAGAGGTGAAAACCCCCGACTGGAAACGTCTTGAACACAAAGGAAAATATACCTGTACCTGTTCCTTTTAATGAGTGGAAATTTTCCCTCAGGAAAGTCCCAAAAAATGTAGGGCCCATCATTTGGGACTCATTTTCGGACTCCCCCGCTCAGAGTTCTGGGTAACTTTCCATTCCAGTTATTCAGAAATATATCGGTGGAGAAATAATAATAACAAACAACAACAAGTGTTGACCGCACTCTCACGTGTTGGTCGAATGCTTCGAAAAAATGCCGAGCCAAGCGAATTATTATGGACTAATACGAAAAGAATTTACAACTTCCTTTCCTTTCTTCTCCCCGATCAGCGAAAATCCGAAATCGGAGACACAAACAGCACTAAGTGCTTCGAAAAGGGAACGAATCACGCAATGGGAACTCATGTTTTTCTGTCTTTATCCATTTTCCCCAGGCTCGATTATCAGTTTAGCTGGCTAGGTTCCCTGGGCAAGACAACAACAACAATAATACCGAGCTAGCTTCAGGCCCGAAACTGAGGCCCGCCGACGACTCGATATACTACGGCAAACAACAATGACGAAGACGCCGAACAATAATAACACAGCGGAGCGTCAACAAAGTTTTGATTTTTATAAAAGACAAGGTTCGCATCAAGTACAAAACAGTTTCGTTCGAAACGCTGCCGTGTGAAGAGCACAGCGACCAGAACCGAGCGGGCGAGCACCGAGCATCTTTCAGATACTTTCTACCTAGCTACCTAGCATCTAGCCGTACAGACTAAATAGATGCATATACGACCAAACGCGAGTGTCTGCAGTATATCTAGTGTCACCTGGTGCCATCCCGGCAGCAATTACTTTACGGGGAACCCCAATTAACCCGAACTTCGATCGCAGTGTTTGTTTTTGAATTTTTGCATCCAACCGCGGGACCAAAGATGAAGTCGAATCCGGCCGCGGATCATGTGTACTTTAACGACGGCTTCAAGTGCTCAACGATCAGCATCAGCACCAATCTCACAGACCAGAATGGCAGTGGCAACAGCGTGGGCTCCCAAGGATCCAAGGAGTTCATTCGTAAGTGTAACTAACAATGACAGCATCTCAATAGAGCTGAGACGTAGAGCTCGTTATTTGGGTCGATTTGATTTATTTTGTCATGTTAAAGACACCTCAATAATTGAAAACTGATTTAAACGTCTTGAAATTCTTGACGATAACTGATATATTGTATCTCGTAAAGTCTAGAATTTTACTAAGCAGTTATTTAGTTTTTTCAGTCTCAAAGGCTTATCTAAAGTGCTTACACAGATTAAAGATAATTTAATTGTGTGGCATATACAAATTATTAGCAATTTGATTTATTAGTAATTTTTGCACAAATTACCATTTAGTTATTGGAGTGGCTTGAATGGCTTAAACGATTGTACCCATTAACTACAAATTGGAGAATTGTGAAATCAAATTAGAACTGCTTTAATGATTTGTTCAGAATCACGAAAGGCAACTATCGAATTTGCAGCATTAGCTGAGCAAACATTTTATTACGCAACAAAGTACTTGCGAATTTTTTCGTTTCGAACTTTTTACCACAAATTACAGTTGATTTCATAATTAGTTCCTAGCTTACGTGCAATTAAATTAGTTAACTGGAATTCAGACAATTTTTCCGACATCTAATCGAATTGGAAGTGAAAACGCAGCATCAAGTATACGTCTCGTGCTCCCCACTCTGAGATAAATGCAATTGTTTTCCACGTTTTCTCAGCCGTTAAGCTGCAGCCCTAGGCCTTGGCAATGAAATTCGCGTTGATCATGGATCAGAACAAAAAAAAAAAAAAAAAATATAGTAAAAACGCCAGCAATTACAATACCAGAAAGCAAACAGAAATGCAACTGTCTGAGATCGGCCCAAAGGGGGAAGTGGGAGTGCGAGTGGGAGCAGATGGAGCGTGGGGCTGCTATGTAGTACGTGATTATGATTATGATTATGAATCACAAGCGAACTTAAAACCAAGTAGAGCCGCTGTCGTAGTCAGCTCAGCACAGCTTTTTTTACTCACTCTTCCGGCATTTCTGACCCATTTCTCCGCTTTTGTTTCGACCTTTCCAGTGACCGAGGACGGCAAGAAGGTGAAACCCCCAACGAGCACGCTCGACTGCACCCACACCTGGCTGCAGGACTGTGCCCGACGCACCTTCAACCGCAAGACCCTACACAAGCGCCTGCCCATAGTCAGCTGGCTTCCCCGCTACAACAGCCAGGATGCAGTGGGCGACCTGGTCGCCGGCATCACCGTGGGGCTCACCGTCATTCCACAGGCGCTGGCCTACGCGGGCATTGCCGGACTACCCGTAGCTGTAAGTAAAAGCCCGAAAATGAAATCACTAAAATACTAATCGTATTCGGTTTTTGTTCATTTTAGTATGGCCTTTACGCCTCGTTTGTGGGCTGCTTTGTATACATCTTCCTGGGCAGTTGCAAGGATGTGCCCATGGGTCCTTCGGCGATTGTGGCGCTGCTTACTTACCAGGCCGCCCAGGGATCGTGGCAAAAGTCCGTCCTCCTCTGTCTTTTAAGCGGAATAGTAGAGCTGCTGATGGGCCTCTTTGGGCTGGGATTCCTCATAGACTTTGTGTCGGGTCCGGTCTCCTCGGGCTTCACCTCCGCCGTCTCACTCATCATCCTCACCTCGCAGATTCAGAGCGTACTGGGGATCACGGCCAAGGGCAACACCTTCGTAGAGATCTGGACGCAGGTCTTCCACAACATCGAGCATACGAGGGCAGGAGACACGGTTTTGGGACTCACCTGTATCGTGGTCCTGCTGCTAATGCGCAGCCTCTCCTCCTGCCGCATTGGACCAACGAATGAGGAGGAGTGTTCCACCTTCCAGCGGGCGGTTAACAAGATTCTGTGGATCGTAGGCACCGCTCGCAACGCCATCTTAGTGGTGGTGTGCTGTGCCATGGGCTACATGCTCCACAGCGAGGAGCACGGTGCCCCCTTCAGAGTTGTGGGTGAGATTCCACCTGGTCTGCCCAGCCTGCAATTACCGCCCACATCGGTTAGTGCCAATGAGACAAGCGATGGCGTGGCCCAGGGATTTGTGGAGATGGTGCACAGTATGGGCTCTGGCCTGGTGGTGATTCCACTAATCTCACTAATGGAAAACATTGCCATCTGCAAGGCCTTTGGTGAGTGAAAAAAAACTGGCTTCTTTTCAAGTTTTTCGGGCTGACAAATAGTTTTTTCAGCCAACGGTAAACCGGTGGATGCCTCTCAGGAGCTTATCGCCATTGGAACAGCCAACATCTTCAACTCCTTTGTCCAGGCCTTCCCAGGAACTGGAGCCTTGAGTCGAGGAGCAGTGAACAACGCCAGCGGTGTCCGCACTCCACTGAGCAATATCTACTCCGGTGGCCTGGTGATGATCGCCCTTGTCTTCCTCACCCCCTACTTCTACTTCATTCCTCGGCCCACACTTGCCGCCATTATCATAGCCGCTGTGGTCTTCATGGTTGAGGTCAGGGTGGTCAAGCCCATGTGGCGATCGAAAAGTGAGTACTAATATCAAACCAAGTTTAATCGAAATAAAATAATCCAATGTAATATTCCAGGAAGTGATCTAGTTCCTGGCGTGGGAACATTCGTTGCCTGTCTGGTCTTGCCTCTGGAGTGGGGCATCCTCATTGGTGTTGGCCTAAACGTCATCTTCATTCTCTACCATGCAGCGCGTCCCAAGCTCACTACCGAACTCCTCACCACACAGTCGGGCGTGGAGTACTCCATGATCACGCCTGACCGTTGTCTCATCTTTCCCTCGGTGGATTATGTGAGGAATCTGGTCAACAAGCAGTCCATGCGTCAGAATCTCCCCGTGGTCATTGATGCCTCCCATGTGTATGGAGCTGACTTTACGACAGCAACAGTTATCGACTCTCTGATCAGTGACTTTAAACAACGGGGGCAGCTGCTCTTCTTCTACAATCTGAAGCCCAGCATTTGCGCCATATTCGAGCAGGTTTCGGCGGCCCAGTTTGTGGTCTACTACCAGGAGCAGCAGCTGGACGAGCTGCTGAAGGAGAGGCACTACGTTCAAAAACGCCTGGAAACGGCATGAGGCATGAACTTCTCCTGAATACGTGATACTTTATAATTAGAATAACTGTTTGCTTTAGTTATTTATGTATTTGTAAGAGTTTAGTATTAGCCAGAACACGAACACTATTAGAAATAAGTTTATTACGGACTTAAAGAATAGTAATAGTTACTTTAATTCAAGAAAAAAATACTTTTCAAAATGGTCAACCAACTTTTTATTAATTTGTTCTATAATGGGTTTTTAATAGCCAGACACCTAAATATTTCATTTTAACGGTTTTTATTTCAAAATTTGTATTGAGAAATCGAAAAAAAAAGTATCTATTTCTAGTGTCGTAGAGGGATTTTTGACTTTCTAGGAAGAACTTTCAGTGGAATGAAATTTAAGAAAAACGTTAACGGGCTAAAGTTTGTATTTTTTGTAATATTAAGCATGGATAAATCCGCTTTAAACATTTTTCATTTAATTTTAATTTAAAAATGTTAGTTAGTATCAATTATCGATAGCAGGTTATCACTCGATGGGCAACCAGTGTTGCCAGACCGTTTTATTTGGATATATAGCTAAACCGTTTCTAGCCAGATTTCGTGAGATTTTTTAGGAAGAAAGCAAAACTTGCATATGGCAACGCTACTCTTATTTCTCACGTGTAGCGGTTTGTTTTCCTCGTTTTCCTAAATTTAATTTAAATACTTAATTATGAAACGCCTGAGTGACGAGCGTGCCAAGATCCTGTTCGAGAAGCTTTCCAAATAGTGAGTAACCCAATAGTTTCGTCGATACCGTGCTAATATGGATGTTTGCAGCATTGGCACAAATGTGAAGCAATTGATTGATCGGCCGGATGGAACCTACTGCTTTCGGGAGCACAAGGATCGTGTTTACTACGTCTCCGAGCGCATCCTAAAGCTGAGCGAGTGTTTTGGCTACAAGCAGCTGGTGTGCGTGGGCACCTGCTTCGGCAAGTTCTCCAAGACGAACAAGCTGAAGTTCCAGATCACTGCTCTCAATTACCTGGCCCCCTACGCGCAGTACAAGGTGTGGGTGAAGTCCTCGTTCGAGCAGCAGTTCCTGTACGGTAACCACATCCCCAAGACGGGCCTGGGCCGTATCACGGAAAACGCCGGGCAGTACCAGGGCGTGGTGGTCTACTCGATGAACGACCTGCCACTCGGATTCGGCGTCCTGGCCCGCTCCACCACCGACTGCAAGACCGCCGATCCCCTGACCACTGTCTGCTTCCACCAGTCGGACATTGGCGAGTACATTCGCACCGAGGAAACGCTGTTTTAGAACCGTATATGATAAGTGCTATATTTTTACATGTTTTTCTGATCATGTTTAGGTAAATTATAAGTCCAAAGTAAAATTCAAAGCGTTGGTGTTTTTGAAGTTGGGAGGTACAAGGCGAGGGCAATTCGGCTAATATGGTAATATTTCAAATTATTAGTTAACTTTACAGGCCAAGATTAATTTTAAATATTTAGCACATGAATTTAGTACACTTTGGCCTTTTTCATCTGCAGAGCGACGGTCACACTGGCAGTAAAATGTTTTTGTTTTAGCAAGCATTATTGCCTTTCTTTTTGCCGAAATCTTGGAAAAGCGAACGACGATAAGAGCACGGCTAACAAAGGCCCTTCCGATGGAAAAGCGTTTAAGTGCGGCTGCGATATGGCTGCTCATGGTGCTGTACGGCGCTTCTGTGGGTAAGTTGACGAAGCCAGACATCTGGCGGTGCCTGCTTTTGCTGACTGTGATTCCTCAAGTGAACTCCCACGCCCCCTTTGCCAAAGAAGTCCAATTCGCCCCTGCTGACTCACCTAAGCCTCTGTTCTCTGTTTCATCCGCAGCTCAAGGCGAACGGACGCGCGATAAGATGTACAAGCCCATTTTGGGGGCCAGCTGCTTCCGGCGACTGAACGGCACCCACCAGACCGGCTGCTCCTGTGAGTGCTTGACGTAAAATGTCCTGGCAACAGTTTTTAATCTTGGTCTTCCACAGCAACCTATTCCGGCTCCGTGGGCGTGCTGCATCGGATCAATGTGGAGGCCGACTTGGAATTTCTGCTCGCTGGTCCGCCATCGCCGCCATACGCTCCCATGATACCGCCGCACCTGTTCACCCGCGACAACCTGATGCGACTGAAAATGGCGGGGCCGCAAAACATCTCGGTGGTGCTGCTGGTCAACCAGACGAACAATATGCAGCAGTTCTCGCACGAGCTCAACTGTCCCAACCAGTACAGCGGGATAAACAGTAGCAGCGAGACCTGCGATGCCACCAATCCGGCCAAAAACTGGAATCCCTGGGGTACCGGTCTCCTGCACGAGGACTTCCCCTTTCCCATTTTTTACATCGACGATACAGATGAGATCGAGAAGCTGATGCAGTGCTTTGAGAAATTCAACAACAAAGACTACAAGACGCACGCCCTGCGTAGTCTATGCGCCGTGGAAGTCAAAGCCTTCATGTCTGCCGCTGTCAATACGGAGGTGTGCATGCGCCGCACCAACTTCATTAACAATCTGGGCGGCAGCAAGTACTGCGATCCGCTTGAGGGACGCAATGTATATGCCACTGTGTATCCTCGGGAACCTTTACTTAATGATGGAATCGAGGTGCTCAGGACGGATGAAAAGATTATAATGGTCACTTGTCGGCTGGACACGGTTAGCATGTTCGATGGAGTTGGTAAGCGTTGGCCTATCCAGTTTTCTTATATTTACTAACTTATTTTCTTGTATTTTTAGGCGTAGGAGCGATGGATTCTCTGATGGGTCTGGCTGTTTTCACGCAGGTGGCAAATCTTTTGCGGCAACTGCTACCGCCTCAAAGCTCGCTGCCCGATTCCCGTCGAAATATTCTCTTTGTGACTTTTAATGGAGAGTCCTACGACTACATCGGATCACAGAGATTTGTCTACGACATGGAGAGACTCGAGTTTCCCCCAGAATCTGCGCACAGCCCACCGATTGCCTTTGATAACATCGATTTTATGCTGGACATTGGTACGCTGGATGACATAGCCAACATCAAGCTGCATGCCTTGAGAGGATCAGATCTGGCCCAGAAGCTGCTGGGACAGCTTAACAATTACGCCAGGGCATCGCGCTACGGTTTCAACCTGAACATTCAGTCGGAGATTAGCGCCCACATACCGCCCACATCGGCGCAGTCTTTCCTGCGGCGCGATCCAAACTTTCGGGCCCTCATTTTGAACGCGAGGCCAACGAACAAATACTATCATTCCATCTACGATGATGCGAAAAATATAGACTTTACGTATGCGAACACTAGCAAGGATTTCACGCAATTGGCGGATGTTGGCGACTTTAAGGGGCTGAAAGCCGATTCCCTGCAGATGAAAGTGCGCAATATATCTTCAATTGTGGCATTGGCGCTCTACCAGACGCTTACTGGCAAGGAGTACACAGGCACCAAGGTGGCCAATCCACTGCTGGCCGATGAGCTTCTTTATTGCTTCCTCGAGTCGGCGGACTGTCCGCTGTTTAAGGCCTCATCGTATCCTGACAGTCCCACTGGCTTGCAGTTACCTCCGATGCGGTGAGTGTTTATGCTAAAAAATAAAAGAGATAATAAACATATAATGCCATATTTTATTACAGCTATATAAGCGTCTTGGGTGGATCTCAGGAGTCATCTGGTTGGACGTACCGTGTTCTGGGCTATCTGCTGTCACAGCCTCAACCAAATATTCCCAAAGAAAACTGCACCAAATTGCCGCTGCACTATTTCGCCGGCTACAACAACGTCGGCGAGTGCCGCCTTACGACCCAAAACTACAGCTACGCCCTGAGTCCGGCCTTTCTTATTGATGGTGAGCTATCCTCCTTTGCTGGTAACTAAGTCTTGTTTTAAATATTTCGATCTTACTAGGCTACGATTGGAGCTCGGGACAATACTCTACATGGACCGAGTCCACCTGGTCCCAGTTCAGTGCGCGCATCTTCCTGCGTCCGTCCAATGTTCACCAGATCACAACACTCAGCATCGGCATAGTGGTGCTCATCGTCTCCTTCTGCTTGGTGTACATAATAAGCTCACGTTCGGAAGTCCTCTTTGAGGACTTGCCGGCTAGCAATGCCGCGTAAGTCTGCATTTGCTCATTCGTTTTTTTTTAAATATTTTTTGGGAATCCATAGCCACCATCAAACTGTCATCTTCAGATCATTGTGTATTCTCTTTGGTTTACTTTTAATATTTATTTGAGATTTATTGTTTTTAGATTGTTTGGTTGATGAAGTTACGACTGCCGCAGCGGAGCCATCATCATCGTGTTCAGCTCGTGTTCATTCCACAAAACTATGCATGCATCCGCGTTAGCAGTTTTGATGTAGTTAGTTTGCTAGCGTTCCCATTAATCGCTCTCTGATATACATGTGTGTGCCCTTTTAGGTTGCCGCCGCCGACGGCCTGTTAGTCAGTGGACATCTTCAAGAAAATCTAAACAAATGCCAGGAAAAGATCTGAAAACAAAGACACTATAATGATATTCTAACTCGTAATTTAAGCCATTAAGCAAACGTTTATTTGTATGTATTTTTGTATTTTAAACAAGTAAATTAGCCTCTAGCGACTATGTTGTATCATATATAATAGATATTTAACCGATTGCGACAAAATCCGTACTCTCCTGCGCAAGAAATACGTTCTGTTTACTTATCCCAGCCCTTCGCCCGTTTCGCAGTGTACATAGAGGTAAACGAAAAAATAATAATGTAACCCCTAATAATGCCAAGGAAGAGATGTCTGTACAAATATTGTGACAAGAACTGCTATATGTAAATCCTAAAACAATGGAAATATTTATACCATCTGCATCTTTTGCAATACTGAACTTAATGATCTGAAATCATCACTTCATAGAAGACAAATAATTATTATGATAACGACTCTAAATTATACATATATATGTTTAATAAATTTTGATAAGGTGTACAGCAAGTGTTTTATTGCCAGATAAACCAGTATTCAGTATTCCTTTCACAGCTCTCGGTTACACAAGTCCATCTTCATCTGAAAACTCTCCGTTTTAGGTAGAGTTTTCTTAATACTCCAGTAATTCTCAGCTTTGTACTACCTTTGTATATTATACAATACAAAATCCTTATCCAACTTTAGACTAGCAAACCCTGCTGACGCAAATTGACAATGGAATCGGCTATAACGCCTGCAGATTGTTTCAAGTAGCCGCCACTGAGCAGCATCACCACCGGGATGCGTAATGCCCGGAATGTACTAAACACCAACCTATCACGCTCCATCACTCCCTCCGCCGTAATGGCCAAGTTGCCAAGCGGATCTCCCTTGAGCACATCGGTGCCCGCATTATAGACGACGACATCGGGACGGAACTCGGCTAAGGACTGCATTAGACAGCGGCGCAGCTGCCTCAGATAGTAGGCGTCCTCTGTGTGGTTGCGCAGCTCCACCGCACAGCGAATGCTCTCCTTGGCCACGTGATCCCGCGGATAGACGAACGCATTGTACATGTCCAGAATGTAGACGGCGGCCACGTTGCTGAAGTCACGCTCGTGGCCATTGCCCTGATGGGCGTCCAGGTCTACGATCATGATGCGGCGCACCCGGAAGGGCTCCTGTTCGAACAGCCGGACAATGAGGAGCGATATATCTGCATACGGACAGAATCCACCGCCTCTGGTCGAGCAGCAGTGATGGAATCCGCCGCCAAGGTTGATGGCCCATCCGTAGTCCAGGGCCAGCTTGCCGGCGAGAATGGAGCCGGCCGCCTGGAAGCGCATCGGACGGAGATAGGCCCGCTGGATGTAGCGATTCGGAACGAAAGCCATGATCGGAACCTCGGCAATGCAGGCCACATTCATGCTCCACTTGAGCGACTTCAGGTAGCCCCTAGTGTGTATGCGGCGCAGCTGGTCCTTGCTCAGCTCCTTGGGCTCGTAGAAGCTGCCGTCGTCTAGCTGGAGCTCGGCGCACAGGAACTGTAACGAACGCGGCGCTACATTGTGTGGCGCTGGAGGACACCGGATACATACACACCTGCTGTATGTGCTTGCCCTTGGCCGCATCGAAGGGGTGCAGGCGTTCAAGGCCAGCGAATCGCACTGCATATTCCCTGGAGTAGACGATGGGCAGCTTGCTGTCAGAGCGGGCGTCATCCCGCTTTACCCAGACCACCTCCTCGGAATCCGCGGTCTTCTCGTGATGCACTCGCTCCGTAAGACGCTTCATTTTTTCCGGAATTCAGGCCTATGTAACGGGTGGATACATCCGTTCGACACCAGTTGAACTTCCTACGCAGCAAGAAAATGCATTTCCGAGACTTTTCGGGTTGGGGGCTGATGTGGGTGGCAATAATCAGCTGTTAGCCGGCTAAAAGCTTTCATGGAAACACTTGGGCTTAAGCTTTCCCAATGGCATACAAACAAACATATATTGCACATTTAACATCACAATTTATATGGTTTTACATTTTACATTTCACTTGCATTGCCTTTACTTAGATAGACGGGTCTTTCATAATCTTCCTGTAGATCCCGATAAGTATTAAGGACACGCTTGCCATAGGAATCCCTCAGCTGCCAGAAGTTTCGCCACTAGACATGGGTAGTAAAGACAATTAGTATTTGGATTTTGATAAAAATATTGTCTTACGTAGTCATGTGGCACATCGACAGGAGTAAGAAAAACGAACCAGAGGACTGCCTCAGCACAAGGCGGAGTGGTAAGGGAACCTATAAAATGATTGTAATTACAATGAGCCATCCCGCTTTCTGTACCAACCTTGGTAGGCCAAGTATCTGTGGGGGTCTATACTAACAAAGAGGTCTTCCAGGGCCATCCTCCCCTGAAGGGGTTGGATACCGTTTATATAAGAAATCTCTCCGACCTGCTTGCAAATGTCTGTCATTGCCGGAGACTCATTTTGTGGAGCCTATGTTGGAAGTGAATAAAATCTGAACAGGATTAACCGTATGGATCGTCGTACCTCCGAGTGCCTGAGGAGCACAGCCAAAACGGCAAACCCATTGCGATGCAGAGCAGCTTCCTGATTGTTCTTGTAGATGGCATTCTTGTGAACTATATGGAGTTCCCCATCGTAGAAGTGGCCATCCAAATGGTGCTCGGATCCTTTGCACAGCTCTGAGCCCCAATGGAAGTGCATTTGCTCGGCCTCAAAGACATGCCCGCCCTCAGTGCTGATGCTCAAAGCGGGTTGCTTTCCCTCAACAGTCTTTGGGATCCTCATGAGCACAGTCACCCCATTGTTGGTCACCGTCACGGGATCCCCCAAGAGTTTGTCATAGTTAATCATCTTTAGTTTGGGAACATTACACGTGGTGCTCTTTGGAGGAAGTTGACATTATCCAACGTTTTTCTAACTTTTTTTAAGGAAACATGCTCACATTAGAGGTGCACAGCGCAATAGGGGACTGCCTTCGAGTACCCTTCACGTTCCAATCTCTTCCTTGCTTGTCATAGTTATAACCAAAGTGACTCCGGGTCCCGGAATGGGTTAACGCAAAGCTCCTAGCCACAAGAAACATTTGTACAATTTTTATAGACTTACAAAACCCAGGACTACTATACTTTTGACTAAGTTTTCAATACGAATATGTCTTTTGTATTCTGTGAATTAAAACAGTGAGTAAATTCAAATAATCTTTGATCAGATTTAATACTGATTAGATTAAATATATATCTCAATATATAATACTTTCTAAGGACATATGTACAACTTCTTGGTCTCCAACTGCTTGGCCTTGCGGTCTATGATATTCTGCTCCACAATGCGGTTGGACCCCTCATAGATATACTTGGTCAGAAAGAAGAGAATCTCGAAGATAGCCACCATGGAAAATCCCACGAATATGGACATGATGTTGCCAATAGTACCTTTAAAACAAAATGGTTACAGGATACTCTAAGATATAACTAGAAACACTCACTGAACACCTCGAACCAGGCGTTATTCAGCAGACGGATGTAGTACTGGGCATACGGATCGGCAAAGTAGACCCTCAGTACAGAGATGTCCGAGCTGAGCTCGGTCTGGTTGTTCTCGTCAACCTTCAGGGTGGCCAGATAGTTGTCTATGGGCAGGGCACTCATGGAAACTCGGTACTGCACATCGCTGCAGGAGGGCAGGCACTGGGGACAGTACAAGGCCTCCTCGATTTCCCGCTCTAGGCCTTGGATTATATGCCTCTCCGTGAGCACGTTGCGCCATTTGACTGTAGGGATCCGAGTATAAATAGTGTTTTCACGGACCAACTCACCAGCTTACACATGTATTGATTGAGGCATGAGACATGGCCCAGGGTGCAGTACACCACGCCATCGAGGTTCTCTACCAGTTGGAGGGGCATTTGGAATGGTAGGCAGCGACAAAGGGCGATGATGCTGCGGATCCTACACCTGGTGATGCAGTTTGGAAAGGAGTAAGCGTAAGTGTACGTCTTCATCAGCTGCTCGTTGCTGGGAGTTTGCGCCTCGTGGTCAAAATAACAGCGTCGTCCAAATGGGGAAAAGGACTTTAAGCTGTCATCGGTATCCACCACCCGAGCGTAGATCTGCAGGTAACTATCCTCGCCCTGGCCTGGAAACATCTCGAGTGCGTTGGAGGAGCTAACAGTGGCATAGTTCTCTGCATTGTGGACCAAGACGATATAGCCATTCGTGTTCAAGATGGGGGCGAAGTAGTCGGAGTGGCTGGAGTTCAGCACCACCGTCAGGCCTAGCTCCGAGCTGGCCAGGCGGTTTTTGTAGTTGCGCTGCTTGAGTCTGGTCAAGATTAAAAATTAGTCAAGGTACACAGATAAACAAGTTTCTTGGAAAAATCAAACTTATTTGACTTGATTTTATCGATGCGGTGTCTTAAATGGGGTTAAATGGTCGATTTAATCCCGTTTCGGGATTAAAACGACAAAATAATCGCCGACTTTCTCGATTCAAGTATAAAAATGCATGAAGCTTAAAATAAAATTCTTAAAATATGAAAAATAATCCCAAATATTCTTGATTCAATCCTGAAAATTCTTTAAACATCAATTGTAAGCTCAGAGAGAGAGGAGAGAGATACATATTTATACCCTTGCAGGGTATTATAATTTCAGTCAGATGTTTGCAACGCAGTGACGGAGACGTTTCCGACCCCATAAACCATATATATTCTTGATCAGCATCAACAGGGGAATCTTTCTAGATATGTCAGGAAGAAATCGATTTTTTGGCCATTTTTGCGAAATTTTATAAGGGGTTACATCATTAAAATTTTTGATTTTGATAAAAAATTTAATTTTCAAAATTTTTAAATGAAGTATGCAGATTTATTAACTGTAGAAAATCTTGCACAGAACAGTTTTCCGATTTAAAATTAATGCTCTTTTGGCCGAGTTATGATATTTTTAATTTAAAAAAAATAAAAAAGTTTTTTAAAATAAAAAATCAGATTTTATAATACAAAATAATATTTTTCTAAGTCAAGGAATCATTTACGCCCCATAAACCATATATATTATTGATCAGCATCAACCGGGGAATCTTTCTAGACATGTCCGGAAGAAATCGATTTTTTGGCCATTTTTGCGAAATTTGATAAGGGTTACCCCTTAAAAAAAGCAAAAATGGCCAAAAATTTTGATTTTTTAAAATTTTAAATTTGGTATGCAGTTTTTTTAAATTAATAAAAACTAACACAAAACTGCTTTCCGAATCGAAATTAATGCATTTTTGGCTTAGTTATGATATATTTTAATTGTTACCTGCAAGGGTATACAAACTTTGGCTGGCCAAAGTTAGCTTTCTTTCTTGTTATACCCTTGCAGGGTATTATAATTTCAGTCAGAAGTTTGCAACGCAGTGAAGGAGACGTTTCCGACCCTATAAAGTATATATATTCTTGATCAGCATCAACAGCCGAGTCGATCTAGCCATATCCGTCTGTCCGTCTGTCCGTCCGTCTGTCCGTTTCTACGCAAACTAGTTCCTCAGTTTTAAAGCTATCTCAATAAAACTTTGCATATAGTCTTCTATATGCTCTCACTGCTATATATGTCGGAACGGGCCGGATCGGACGACTATATCATATAGCTGCCATACAAATGTTCGATATATTTTTAGAAAACAAATTATAACTTTGCTGTTTTTCAACATACTTGCACCAGTTTTTAGATATGACCATTTAATATTATTTCTGAATTTTGGTAAAAATTTTATGAAAATCGGACGACTATATCTTATAGCTGCCATAGGAACGATCGGGAAATTAATAGGGAAAAATTATAACTTCGTTGTTATTCAACGTGTTTTTATCTACTCTGAGATATAAGCTTTTGTTATTATTTTAGAATTTTGGTATACATTTTATGAAAATCGGTCGACTGTATCATATAGCTGCCATAGAAGCGATCGGTAAATGTATAGACATTTAATTCGGAAAGCTGTTCCGAGTTAGTTTTTCTAAGCTTAACAAATACTGCATACTTAATTAATTTAAATAGCTACCAATAATTTTAGGATCACCAGAAATGAAGCTGGAGGAGCGAGCAGCTGGCAGGACAGACCTCAACCGGATGGCAGTAGAGGACGGTGATCGGATCTTGGCTCCGGGCTATATAAAAGCCTGCAGCAGGAGTAGATAATTAAAATATTTATAAATGCAATTTAAATATGTAAATGTAATTGATGGAACACACAAATATGAATCAATAAAAGATGGTGAAATCAATGTGCAATTTTTTTGTGAAGGCAGCATTGATTTGGGATCGTTTGGGGAAAAATCTAATTATTTTGAAAGCTAAATCTAAACTAAAAATTTTTTTTTCTGAATTTTAACATTTTTTTCGAATGTTTTAAAATTTTACTACATTTTGAAAATTTTTGACTAAATTTTTAAAATTTGTCTGAATTTTTAACATTTTTTTCAGATTTTTTATTTTTATTTAAGAATTTTTTTAGAATTAAACAAATTTTTTTAAATATTTTAACTGCCAAATTTGAATTTGAATTTAACGACGATCAGTTTCAGTGTGCCCAGGTGCAGTTGTAAAATAACACCTAAATTTGGATTCAAAAGGTTTGAGTCTCCGCTAATTTGCGCCGGCTCCTAAATGGTTTGGAACTTGGACAATTTATAACAGTTTATACCAGTTTTCAGCTGCTTGCTGCTGATTTCTGTTCGCCTGTTACCCCAATTTGGGAAATGGGCAATTTGCTTGGAAATGTTCGGAAATTTGGATGGGCTGCTGTAGGGATGTTGTTGTAAAAAGTTTGTTGTTGCCATAAGCTGTTGTTGTCGGCAACAAATAGGTATAAATGCATAAAATGAAATATAACAGTTTATACCAATTATTATTTTTGCCCAAATGTTTTTATAACAGTTTATACCAGTTTTCAGTTGCTTGCTGCTGGTTTCTGTTCGCCTGTTACCCCAGTTTGGGCAACGGCCAAATTGGATGGAAATTTTAGCTCACTTGCATGAGTGATGCTCATCTGCATCAGTGATGCTCATCTGGCTATATTTCAATATTGGAGGTCAATAAAGTCGGGCTTAATGTCAGTGATGCGCATGTGCATCAGTGATGCTCATCTAGCTATTTTTTTGCATTATTGGTAGAAAATTGCATCTCACTAGCTGCCAGTGATGAGCATCACTGATGGAAGTGAGCATCACTGATGGAAGTGAGCATCACTGATGGAAGTGAGCATCACTGATGGAAGTGAGCATCACTGATGGAAGTGAGCATCACTGATGGAAGTGAGCATCACTGATGGAAGTGAGCATCACTGATGGAAGTGAGCATCACTGATGGAAGTGAGCATCACTGATGGAAGTGAGCATCACTGATGGAAGTGAGCATCACTGATGGAAGTGAGCATCACTGATGGAAGTGAGCATCACTCATGGAAGTGAGCATCACTGATGGAAGTGAGCATCACTGATGGAAGTGAGCATCACTGATGGAAGTGAGCATCACTGATGGAAGTGAGCATCACTGATGGAAGTGAGCATCACTCATGGAAGTGAGCATCACTGATGGAAGTGAGCATCACTCATGGAAGTGAGCATCACTGATGGAAGTGAGCATCACTGATGGAAGTGAGCATCACTGATGGAAGTGAGCAACACTGATAGAAGTGAGCAAAACTTTTCATTCAAATTGGCCGCTTTCCAAACTGAGGTAACAGGCGAACAGAAACCAGCAGCAAGCAACTGAAAACTGGTATAAACTGTTATAAAAACATTTGGGCAAAAATAATAATTGGTATAAACTGTTATATTTCATTTTATGCATTTATACCTATTTGTTGCCGACAACAAAAGCTTATGGCAACAACAACCTTTTTACAACAACATCCCTACAGCAGCCCATCCAAATTTCCGAACATTTCCAAGCAAATTGCCCGTTTCCCAAATTGGGGTAACAGGCGAACAGAAATCAGCAGCAAGCAGCTGAAAACTGGTATAAACTGTTATAAATTGTCCAAGTTCCAAACCATTTAGGAGCCGGCGCAAGTTAGCGGAGACTCAAACCTTTTGAATCCAAATTTAGGAGTTATTTTACAACTGCACCTGGGCACACTGAAACTGATCGTCGTTAAATTCAAATTCAAATTTGGCAGTTAAATTCAAATTCAAATTTGGCAGTTAAATTCAAATTCAAATTTGGCAGTTAAAATATTTAAAAAAATTTTGTTTAATTCTAAAAAAAATTCTTAAATAAATATAAAAAATCTAAAAAATGTGGAAAATTCAGAAAAAAAAATTTTAAATTCAGAAAAATTTTAAAAATTTAGAACAGTAGTTTATAAATTTTAAATGTTTAAAATTCTAGAATTGTGGTATAAATTTTATAAAAATCGGACAACTATATCATATAGCTGCCATAGAAGCGATCCGTAAATGTATAAAATACGTAAAGCCGGGAATGTAAAACTGAAACTGTCAAACTGTAAACATAATAAGTATAGGTAAAATTTAATGAAACTCTGTTTTGTGAGTGTTTTCAGCATTTAAATCTATAATATAAAAACCAAATCTGCAAGGGTATACAAACTTCGGCGTGCCGAAGTTAGCTTCTTTTCTTGTTTTTCTTTACTTATTAATATTTCTTAGTAATTTGAAATTCTTGATTTAATCTTAAGTTGACTTAAAAAAATGTTTTAATCCTAACCAGAGCGTTTTAAGTTAACTTGAGATTGAATCAAGAATTTTCGGGATTAAAAAAAATTAAGTGTGTTCGTCCTTAAATTAAGCAAATCCGACATTAAGCCGAAGTCATGCCCACTTGAGCTTAAATTTGGCAACAATATCCCGTTTTATCTGTGTAAGCTGCGCTTACTTGTTTTCCATATTGAAGGTGCAGCAGGGTCCGTACATGGTAAGGCTTTCCTGGAAGGCTTCCCTGCTAAAGCAGGGGATCTCCACATTGGCTAGGCTGCACTTCAATACGAAGTCCTTGCAGCTTGGGGTTAGCTAAGGTACATAGGTAAGCTAATTGGTCGATTTGAAAGGTCATCGATTGGCTCACCTGCTTCATAATGCGTCGCGTGTCGAAGAAGGTTTCATTGTTCCAGGTACCAAAGACATCGAGAAAGGTCTGGAAGGTAACAAAGTCATCGGTGTCTACCACAGCACCCACATGAACATAAAACTCCCTAAAGAATCTTAGGCGCTCCAGGTAATATTCCACGGGACGGCTTACAGGACTGTTCAGTCGCCTGGAGAGTGTTTAAATATTTTATTTTATTTTTTAACTAATAATAACTATTTATTAAATAAAGCCAAACTTACAGTTCCTCGGCATACCGAATGATGGCCTGTCGCGAAATTCTATTGTTTGTGCATATAGAAACCGCGGGAAACGGCACATTCTCCACGGGATAAAGGGGATCCTTTAGATTGGTAACAAAGGACTGGGCCACGAACTGCTCCCAGGTGAGAGAGAGCACCACCACCAGTGAAATGGTTGTGGCCATGTGGAGCAGCAACCAAATTATTCTGTGAAAATCTCAACAAAATGAAGGGAAGAGTACCAAGTACTAAGAAGGATTATCAGTCTGTATTACCTTTGTCCGAGTGTTAAGTTCGGCGACAAAAGCTTGTTGTATCCTTGCAGCGAAATATTCCGCAGTAGATCTGCCATATCAAGGCAAAAGGCAGAACCCAATGATGACTTACGCAGTCCTTTGGATTTCTTGTCTTTCACTGCCTTTGGATTTTTAATCCACCAAATGGCATTTGATGAGGAATCCTTTTTATCCATCTTATAGAGATTTCGAATTCTGAAGAAATTTGCTGTTGATTTGAGCTCTTATTGTGGTCTAGCACCTTTGATGGCTCTTCAACCCTTCTTTTATAGTGAAATCCTTTTATAAGTGGGCGTTTCTTGCTAATGCTTGACACCCATTAATGCCCTTTTAATTAACCAAGTTAAGTTAAGTTCCAACTAGTTCTGTTGCCTTGATTTAATTATATTGGAATGTCATATAACAGAGAAAAATATTCCCTAAGTTTAAAAGTAGTAAAGAGCCAAGTATGTAAGTTGTACTTTATAAATAAAATAATATTTTAATCTTAACATTTACATTTATTCATTAACATTAATAGTCCTGAAGCACAGGTATCGGCTCACTATTTAGGTTACACAACTGGTCTTACTTTAAATGAGTATTTTACAGTGTAAATCAGTTCATTTCTTAACTAAACCTGAGTCGATCCTAGAATATATTTTATCCCTAATTATAGCCTCTGCTTTGTTAACGTTTTCCTGCCGGCCAGAAAGGCTGACCCGGATAGTTTCGGGATCCAACGAAGGCGTATTGATTGGGATTCACCACTCGGGCAATGTCAGTGTAGCTGCGTCCACCGCGCGGCGGCGATGGGTAATATCCACGGGCAGGTGAGCCGGAGACGGTGGCCAGGAGCAGAAGCAGGCCAACCAGCAGGTTGATCAGGAATCCTTGGACTGACATGGCTTGTGAAGAAGAGTGCTGCGAGTGTACTGAACTGCACTACAGCCAGCGACCGGCCTATTTATATGGATATGGCAGGCGACTGATCGGTTCTTGCCGTTCTCAGAGGCTGGCTTATCAATCAGGTTTTGGCACCGCAGCAAAAATCCACCGAAACGCCGGAGAATTGCGTTGCCGCTCACGTAGATCTCGCGCAGTCTCATTGTATGATATGGCTTTTTATGATCACTTTGTTTTCTCGATATTTACTGACACGCTGCCCGCGCCAAGTCATTCACACCGCATCAGCAGCAGCAGCAGCCCGTTATGCCGGCCGATCGGTCGTGAGTCAGCGCATGTATCGCACCTGATCTTGACTCTAATTGCGTGGTGAATGATTTGGCTCTACTAGCACGGCTGGACTTGGTGTCGTACGTATTTAAATTCTAATTAGCGACTCCAGCGACATGAGGTAATGACGTAGGTGCGCCATCTGAGGCGATGTATTAGCAAATTCTTGCATAAACAATTGCCATGTTGGGCGCAAACAAACACTTGTCACTGACTTGAGCCGATGGCTTCCTTCCTGTAAGGTGGCTTGGGATTTGGATCTGGTTTCTGGTTTCACTTCCTCAATGTCAGTCGGGGAAGTCCTAGGCGATCAGTGACTGCATCTTAATCGGAACCAAGCGTAAGTGCTCGTAAAACGGTTATATGCAGCTTACGCAGTCAGATAATGCCCGACCTTGTTATCAGATCACCAACCGAAAATGACTATTAACTTTTTTTGGCATTGAAAAATTCATTTCGGACTTCCGACTATCCTGAATTTACATTATCTTGAATCTTTTTAATCAGATTAAAAGTTAATCAAATTATTATTTATATTGAATATACCAACAATTACAGCTAAGTATGATGATGATTTGAACAAATTGTTCTGAATAAGTAAGGTTCTCTAGAAATGGCATTAAAATGTGATGAATCATAAATCATTAAGTGCAAAGTGGGATTACACACCTTTGAGCATATTCCTGGGCACTTGTAAACCCCAAATTATATATTATATTTAGTCAGTAAAAGTGTTTAATATTCTAGTAAGAAAGTCTTAATAATGGTAAGAACAGTACTACAAGTAATATGTTTTATGGATATTCCTTAAATAATTCTTACATAGAGAAAATGTTGCATTGGATGAGAAGAAACAAGAAGGGAATCTAACGACTTTAAGATCTTACTACCAAATCAATAATGAGTAAAATTAAAAAGACTTTGTTTAATTAATCTTGAATGTATTAAAAAAAATTAGCTACAAAGGGAAGGCAAAAAAATTGTTGAACAATCAATGCAAATGTTGCTAAGAACATGCTGCGCAACACTCAAATAAAGACAAATGTTTCTAAAAACATGTTGAAAGCAACACACAAATATACATATGTCGGAGATATCCGTTATTTAATTTAACCGTAGTCGAGCCAGCGAGTTCTGTTCGCCTGCGCAGTCAAATCGAATCTGTCATCACGCCACTTTTCCTGTGGCCCTTTCACCTTTTCTTACTTTTCACTCAGATGTCATTCCTAGACAATCTCAAGCTGTCTCTCTCATTCTCTCCTATTGTTGCGACAGACGAACAGACCTCACTCAGTAACACTCCTGTTACCGACTCAACTGTCATTGCGCCTGCGCGCCAGCGACACCTACAGGCTACCAATACCTGAGCATGCCGAATAGTTCTGTTGCCATAGCAACAAGCTTTCCAAATTTGCACTTAGCAACCAACTCGCCGACACGGCCATCCTGACAATTCACGCGTCCTCGCGTGACGTGTCTTCTAATAGCTCTAAACATAACTGTCATTTTCATTTATCATTCTCTCTTTTTTTCTCTCTTTGGTCTCAACTTAACATTTCATTTTATCTGTTTTATTCATGTCAAATAAGCTTTACTTTTATTTCTTCTCGCCACTTCATTCTCTTCTCGTACCAAATCTGTATCTCTGTATCTCTCTGCTCGTACCACAACTCTTACTCAACATCTCTTCATCAATTTATACAGGCTCTTGCTGCACACTTTGCAACGCTCACACGCACCTCTTGCGTCACGGTCTCTCTGGACCCTCACAGCCTTATAAATGATTCCACCAACGAGTGCCTCAGTCGGCGATCTCTCGCTTACACTTCTAGTGTCTTCAAATGTTAGTTTGGCAGGATAACCTTTCGAAACCATAGAGTACAAGCTCTTTTCGTATTTCAAAAGGCTCCGCTTCACATATTCTGACCATAGGAATAAAGTAGGCCCTGTTTCATGTGATCCGACACGGCCTTCCTGACAAATCACACGTCCTCGTGTGTTAACTTTAAATCACAGTATTCTAAAATTTCGGTACTCGTTACATTTTATTGTCAACAAACATTTAATTAATTTTCTAAACATAAGTATTGAGGCATTTAGACAAAATAAGCATCTTGGTTTCATGATAACATAACAAATTACATCTTCATTTTAATCATAATTTACAATTCAGACTTCTCTAATTACATAGCTTTATCAACTGGTGTATTTCCTTTTACACCCACATACTGACCCCCGCCATAACAATTCCTTCTGTTATGGTGCGGTCTCCACTGACCCCCGCCATAACAATTCCTTCTGTTATGGTGCGGTCTCCACTGACCCCCGCCATAACAATTCCTTCTGTTATGGTGCGGTCTCCACTGACCCCCCGCCATAACAATTCCTTCTGTTATGGTGCGGTCTTTATATCCCCTCTTGGGATTCCAAGGCATCAACCGTGCCATCCATATCATCATTCCCCACATGGGAATCAGACGCATCTCCACTTGAGTCGTCTAAATCTTTATCAATCAACGTGATTGCTTATTTGTCTATTTGGCAATGCCCTCAAAAACTCATGCGCATACTTATAAGTTCTTTTGCTTGTTAAGGATTTTAAAATGTACCGATTTCCATCTTCATTTCTTTATCTCTTTCTTTCTCCCCTCTCTCATTCGTAACAATTTCAATTTCCAATTTATCCATTTTAAGTTAATCTTGCCTTAACAAAATTGTGCTCTTACTTCCATAATTTTACCGAACCGGCATAACGTAACTTTAAATTTCTCTTTCTTTATACTTTTCTCTGTGTCATGTGGTGGTATCAAGCCCAAAGGGTGGGTCCGATTGGCATCTCTTAAGGGCTTGCATTGGTTGCACTACTAACTGTGCAGTTCGCCGCAAGTTGCACCCCGCCAAGAGCATCTTCCCATCACCTCTGCGGTCCTGGTATCCAGCCAGATGACTACTTTACAACTTTACACATGATACAATTTTCAACAATCTTTAAACTTAGTCATTTCCAACAATTCTGATAAATATTGCTGAGTCTATTTTTTCCAATCCAAACACATAACGGATTTATAACCTTGATTAATAACTATCCAACAAAATTTAAGGGACACTACTGGCAGATAACATTGCCTCACACCTCTCTGTATTCTTTAAAATCCCTCTTCGTAACTCAAGTTAATTTCAATTATTTTTAGTTGTTTATAAACTATACCAATAAATCCTGAATCCTGAAGTTGATCAGTCGGTCATTTGAGATTTCCATTCTAAGTTCAGACGTTTTTCTGTCAATTTATTTTTATTTATCGGAGTTAAATCAGTCATGTGAATTCTGGACACAAAAAGAATTCCACAATTGCCTTGCGCTTTCTCTTCCTCTACTCTATGATGCACTTCAGTTAATTTTTTTTTTTTTTTTTAGAAATGATTACATCTGCAATAAGTATAGACTACAAACTCTCATCTGAGCAAACAATGCCAAAAATGTCAGAATAATTGCACGCCAACCAATATTTCCAATTCATACAAAGGCTACTTGGACTCCACAAGACACATAGTTCTACCAATATATCCACCAACATAAGGGTCTCCATTAATTAGGTGTATTAGCATTGGACCATATCCACAAGAGCTTATATCTGTTTCAAATTTGATCAGATGTTTCGAACCCACAAATAACGATTACAGGCTCATTTGTAATAATATTAAAAACGTTCGTTCCAATTTCTGAATATCGTCATTTCACTTAAAGATACTTGAAGCCGAAGAATCTGTCTCATGATCTGAGAAAATCGAGGCACACGTTTTTGAAAATAAGGCACCAATTCAATAAATGGTCTTACGACGGTCTCTTAATTGCACCGATTAAAAGGACGGACCTTTAACGTAAGGATTTTCTAGGAATTGGGTCTGATTTCTCCACCGCACACCTCATAGCTCAGATACTGCGTAGTAGGTTCAAGAAACCCACATTTGGTAACGTTAAATGGCAACTCTGGTACAGTCAACACATTTAATACAACCTTCAGCCTTCGGAAAGCCTTTTCTTCCGAGTTTGCCATGATTAACATGCATCTATGTAAACTATCGCAAATAATCATGATAAATTCCAAACGCCTTAACAATTGCATGATGAAGGTAGAAGATGCACTCTTCAAACCAAACGGCACGGCAGACCAAACAGACGGCAACTCGTAATTTTTTTTAAATTAATTATTTTTCAACAGAAACATTTTTCCTTCACAGGGTCTGACATAAGCGGCAAAGGCCACTGTCCGAAACCATTTTCGAATATTGCTTCCGATAGTCTAAGCACAACCTATCGTAGCACAGGGCTCGCCAATGGGAAGGCAGATGTGCAAACAACACTGCAATCAAACACATCTCTATTCCCATCTTTTAGCCAATTCAGCTCCCAAATCAAAGAATAATTGGAAAGGGCTCACCCGATACTGTCACTGTTGAATCACACACATCAACTCGCTTCTACATGCAGCTGATGCTGCCGCTCGCAGCCGCTGATACCCATCTCGTGCACACAGATGCAATGTGACCACCGTTATCACGCCTGAAGTGCGTCACTCCAGCTCTCCGCACTTCAGCAGCAGTTCCGCCAGTGTGCTGTTGTTGTTGTCTTCCATTCTTCCCCAAATTTTCTGGCCGACACTGATGACACTTGCAACCGTCCGGCTCAACACGCGACCAGTGCATTTGACTGCCTATCACGACTCCGGTGTCTCGCACCACGCGGCTGCGCAAGCCTTCGATGCGCCACTGAATTTAATATCGACCGAAAATCACTTTATCAGAATGCCCGCGAGGCTATGGTGAATCCCACTTCTGATGTCGGAGATATCCGTTATTTAATTTAACCGTAGTCGAGCCAGCGAGTTCTGTTCGCCTGCGCAGTCAAATCGAATCTGTCATCACGCCACTTTTCCTGTGGCCCTTTCACCTTTTCTTACTTTTCACTCAGATGTCATTCCTAGACAATCTCAAGCTGTCTCTCTCATTCTCTCCTATTGTTGCGACAGACGAACAGACCTCACTCAGTAACACTCCTGTTACCGACTCAACTGTCATTGCGCCTGCGCGCCAGCGACACCTACAGGCTACCAATACCTGAGCATGCCGAATAGTTCTGTTGCCATAGCAACAAGCTTTCCAAATTTGCACTTAGCAACCAACTCGCCGACACATACATATGTATGTAGATGTTGCAGAAGTTCAATATAGAGAAAAACTTATATTATCCGACTTTACTCAAACAACCGCAAGGATTTTATTATTTGATAGTAATTAACTTTAAGTAATATAATTTTTTTTATAAGATAAATATGATGAATATTCCGTGAAATACTCTGAAGGAATCCCTTGGTTGAATGCCCGAAAGAGGGGCTCTACTCCAGTATCCCAATAACCGAGAGATGCCAACCAGCCGACGAACGGAGGCGCGACATCACGCCATTCGCAGTCACATCACGTCCCAAGTAGCGACTGATCCGTAAGTACGCGTCAGTGGTCATAAATCTCTTGCTTAAATATACATTGACACTGTTCAAAATAATTAAACAACTTATGGATGGATGTAACTTTCGCTGACTTTATTTTAATGGCTAATACTGCTGACAACACGAACTTAATTAGGGTATAAGCTAACCCCAGAGAGGAGAAAACCGATTTCCACCTGGAAGGAATCGACTCCCACCGAGACCCACATAGCCATCGGGCTTGATAACTCTCTGTATTTCCGAGAAGGTGCGTCCTTGTCGCTGACCAGAAGTCCTTCGTCCTCCGTATGGGTTGCGATACGAGGAGTAGCTTGGATATGATGGGTACGAGTAGGAAGAGTAGGCTGGATAGGAATTGTATCCGTAACCGGCCGCATAGCTGCCATAGCCGTAGTTGCCATATCCATTGTACCCATAGTTCTGTGCTCCACCATATCCCCTGCCTGTTTTCCAAGACTTAAAGAATAGCGCGTTGCTCCAATCCAGACAGCAGGTAATCAGGAAAGCAAGGATTGCAAGATGACAGGCCCGGATTCTCATGTTGCTTCTATTTCAAAAGACTTTAAGTTCTGACAGTCCATCTACGCAGTTCTCTCCTATTTATACCCTGGGGAATGGAATCGGAATGGAGTTGGAGCAGCCACGGTGACACATTGTGGTCTAGCTCATTTCAATTGTATCTCTTTTTTACGTTTTCTTATCCCCATAAAAAACGTCGGGATCTCGGGAAGATTAGCTCGGACAACGGGCAAGCGTCGCGGCGACTCCATGCATTATGCTGGATTTATTATAGCAGACGGATTGGCACGATCAGCATGCGGAGCACGCGCCACGCACTGGAAGACTGACCGAGCCATCGCCGCTGGCCAGTGGATAATATACATACAACGGACATCCCCACATCCCCATCCATAACAAGATCATAAACTTCCACTCAGCTGAGCATCAATTTATTTAAACAAACAAAAAATACAGCGTAGTATTTCATATTTAAATTAATGTTTTTCTTGATTCATTTAATAAAAACATCTTCTTACCAAAAACAATTTTGATTAGGCTCTGATACATATTTACTAGAATATTATTTTATATTTTTGAATACCTAATTTTAATAAACCCGTCAAATTATTTTTCGTTAACTCAAAATTATTAATGTGAGAAAAACAAACAGAAGCCCATTCATAATTTATTGAATATTCTATTGTTTAATATTGATTTATTATTCATTCTACTTATATAATTGGTTTTTCTGGCCTTTGTTTACCTTTAGTTTAAAGATGATAGCGTTGATCGCCGCCGGAGAGCGGTTTAGCTCTCACTGCCCATCCTAATCTCTCCCATACTCACCCGCCGATCGACGGACAGGTTTTTGGGGGTCTAGTCAAGCATCGCGGATTATCGCATCACTTGGCCCCCCTCAGTTAGAATTAGCCTCTCGCGGCGATCGCTCGATCATGACGCGATCTTCGCCAGCTTCGATTGCTGGCCGCGCCTGTCTCGTCTGGCTTCTCGCATCCACCTCTGTCTCAATCCCCACGTGCCGCGCTCAGTTCGCCTTTTCTTCAGCCGGAGCCGGAGCAGTGGCTTCTGCCGGTGGCGTCACCGTGGTGGCCCAACTCCCCGGCTTGGCAGCTATCAATGGCCTCATAAATGGTTTGCACAACAACAATAACTTTGGACCACAGCAGCAGCAGATGCAGAGGCTGCAGCAAGGAAGGCCAGGAATGGGACCAGGAAGAGGACCAGGAATGGGACCAGGAAGAGGACCAGGAATGGGACCAGGAAGAGGACCAGGAAGAGGACCAGGAATGGGACCAGGAGGAGGACCAGGAATGGGACCTAATAGACGGGGAGGACCACCGAACCGACAGCAAGCTCCTCCTGGCTGGCCGCCGGGCTGGCAGTGGGGAGCTGGTGGCAACCAGCCGGGCTTCGGCTGGGACCAGCAACCAGGTTGGAATGGAGGCGGGCCTCCTCCGCGTCCCGGCTGGAATGGAGGCGGCGGAATGGGTCCCGGGTGGAATGGAGGCGGTGGAATGGGTCCCGGATGGAATGGCGGCGGGGGCGGTCCTCCGCCGAGACCCGGCTGGAACGGAGGCGGGATGCGACCACCACCACCACCCCCACCAAGGGCAGATTGGGGAGGAGGAATGAGACCACCGCCCGGATGGAATGGCTGGGACAACAATCAGCCGTACCCAGACTACGATTGGAGCAATCCGGATAATGGGTCTCAAACAACGACTTCGCGAACACCAACTGTACCCACCTCGCCACCAACACCAACTACCCCCAAGTCGGTGGTAACACATCCCACCTTCCAGCCACTGCCTCCCACGCAGCCCACCAAAGACACTCTGATCATTGGCACCAATCGACCGCCGCTAGTGCCACCCCCGAACCAGGTCAATCCCACTCCTGTACCACTACCCATCCCGCTGCCCACGCCGGTGCCCCTCCCATATCACTCTATTGAGGCGTCTGAAGAGCGACCCGTCATATTCCCCAGTTCCAGCAAGTACATCCATCTGCCCAACCAAGAAACTCCCTCTGAACCCATCGATGTGAGACGGAGATGAGTCTTGGCGGGGGACTTCCCCAAACCGCACTTGTTGAATATTCATAGTCCGCTCGAGATCGTCTTGGTGTCTGGTAAACAGGTTCTGGAAGCCAAAACACCCGCAAAAAGTCCGGTGCTTGACGAAACTCACGAATTTTTTAATAAATTACAGAAAAACAAACAGATGACATAGCAGATGATTGGATGGGCGGGGATTGTGGGTCATATGTGAACTCTAGTAACCTCGCTGCTTGTAGCCGCCGCCGTATTGATCCTTATAGTAGCCGCCAGGAGCGGGTGTGGGCACTGCTGGTTGGTGTGCGTAGTAGCCAGGACGCGAGGATTGCGGCGGCGGATAGTACGACGCAGGTGGGAGTACTGGCGGACGTTGTGGATAGTATCCTCCTGAGTAGCCCGGGTGTGCTTCCTGCTGATAGCCCTGGTAGCCATATCCTCCGCCATAGTGGTAGTCGTAGCCGTGCTCGTAGCCCTCTTGGATAAGTGGCCCCGGGCCGGGGTGTGGATACGGATAGCGTTCTCCTGGCAGTGGCCTTACTGGCTGATGGTAGTGCGGCTGTGGGTCATCTAAGGCGTTCAGCAGGACTTCGGCTATTCTATCAAAAGTGGGTCGGCAGTGGGCCACTCCGGCCAAGACTAGCACTAGTATCACAGCAGGCAACTGCATCTTTGAATGTTTCATTTAATTTTGCTTATTAATCAGAGCTTCACACAGTTTTTATAGCCTAGGCTGGGCCTGGTGATAAGGGAGATGAATGGAATCGAGTAGAAGAACCTTGACTACTTCAACTCATGTTGAATAAAGTACATAATCAGTTGTTTATAATGCTGATCTGTCTAACGAAGTAGTAAACAAGGTTGTCCGAAAAAGCTTTCGTTTTATATATATGATAATGATCATCTATGCTAAGATTTATTTAAAATTCTTGGGAATTCCCAAAATGGATCTGGCTAGACAATTCACACTTAATTAAAGACCAAAAATTTAAATAAAACACTAAGAAAAATACATTAAATATTATTTTAATAATAATAAAGTAATAGTTAAACTACTACTTTAGTGTTTTGTTAAATTATCACAAAATTAGCTAGGATATTCACAGAAATATCAGATGTATAAAACGTATTTAGTTATGAAAAATAATTTGTTTTAATTTTGAAAAATCTCCCATATCTTGACCAGATCTTTAAAGTTTACCCTGATTTTTTAGCAGTGTAGAACACAAAAAATTACACTCAATGAATCCACTTATCTGGCCACTGAGCCACCGCTGATAACCCTAAAAATAGACACTCAGCTAAGCTCTCATCATCACAGCCCGTCTCAGCATTAAATACACGCGCCGAGAGCTTCAAAGGTTTAGTTCACTTACGACACCATGGCCAGCAGGAGGGGAATCACTATCGCCGCTCTGGGCGTCATCCTGGTCGCCTCCATTCAGGCCAATTCCCAATTTAGCCGAGACGAGAGCCAGGAGGACCAAAAAACCGAGTTCAACGTGGCCTCCACTCTGACGGGCGGCATCAGCAGCAGTAGGCATCGCCAGCGTGCCAACCTTAATTCCCAATTGTATCCAGGATTGGCTCAGTTGGGAGGGGGCTACTCGGGTGCCAGTGGTGGCGCCATCGATGCAGCCCATGGTCACGAGCAAGGTGGCCTGGGGGTGCGACTGGGCAGTACGAACACCGTTGTTTTTCCTGGCAGCTCTTTACCGAATCCGTCCATTTCGGGAGGTCAACAGATTCCGGCATATCCGCCTCCAGGCTTTCCAGCCCAGCAAGCTCCGGTTCCTTATCCAGCTGGAAGTGGTTCCGCGCCAGGATACCCAACTGCAGGTAAGTTTTTGTTTAGGAAATATAGCATTTCAGCTAACCTTTATTTTTTCTGATACAGGAGGCTCGCAGCCACCGTTTCAGGCCCAGCAGCCAGGAGTACAGCCCCAAGTTCCAGGTTACTACCCCTATGGAGCCACATATTTGCCAATATACCCGGGATATCCACAGCAAGCTCAGTTTCCAGCATACGGAGTGACTCCTGGAGCGGCTGCTTATCCTGGAGTAGCTGGAGCTCCGGGAGTCGCTGGAGTCCCTGGAGTTCCGGGAGTTCCTGGAGTCCCCGGAGTATCTGGAGTCGCTGGAGTTCCGGGAGTACCTAGTGTCCCTGGCTATCCTGGAGTCGCTGGCGCTCATGGCCCAGCAACAAGCACTCAAAACCATTATCGCTATCCCGATCACAATCCAGCGGGACCCAACCATTGGGACCACCACTTCTCGATGAACACCGAGTACAAGGAGGATGGAGTTCACAAAGGAGCCTTCGGAACGCTGAATAACCACAATGCCTTTGGCTATGGCAGTGGCTATGGAGGCGGCTACAATGGCGCCTTTAACTCGCCGGCCTACTGAGACTGGATGAGATTACGGCAAGTGGGCGCTGTGATGGGTTTTTTGGGGTGTGGAGAAACCCGAGACGTAGTCATAAGTTGACGGACGCCCCTTTAGCCAAGGGCAGCTGTCCCTGTATCTATAGTTGTATGTCCCTGCGAGTCCTTCTGAAATAAACTTGATTCCTGCACACACACCCAACCGAGGCAATTAGCAATGCTGGCCAGTTACCAGTTGCACCTTGAGGACGGACACCCAAAGAATCGCACATACCGGAAAAAAGCCACATGCATTTAGCTCTCCTTCAGACAGATAACCTTACGTGTTGTCATCTCTTTCGCTCTCCGTCCAAGACACATTTGCAGATGAAGGGAGCTACCTGGCTGGCAGGCAGCCGAAAAACGACAAAAAAAAAGGAGCACACAATGACAGGACTCTGGTCGAAGGACGGACGGAGTTAGACGAACCAAAGGTGGTAGGAAATCAGCGCAAGATTCAAAGACCCAAGACGGTGGTGGTGCCTTTTCAGGCGCAACTGCAGCGACTGAAATCGGTTGTTCCCGTGTGTGTGCAGCCGAACGGGAAAGGGAACTGATCCAGGGACGATGTCTTGATGTCTTGCGGCGCATGCGCAGCCTGCCGCGCAAATCCTTAACAAATTTTTGGCGCTAAAATGACAGACGGTCGCGCCAAAAGCAAGGAACCGCAGCAAACCCGAATAGAGAGTGCACACACACTCACAGATTATGAATGATTTGGGCGGACGACATTGGGAGATTTTACCTGTAGCGGATGGATGGGACCATTTTCAGACAGGGTTTGATGTCCTTAGGTCATCATCTCAGCTCTCAGCTGTTCGTAGATGGGCGCAAAAAGTGCAGGGATTCAGCTGAACAGAGCTGATGGAACAATGGATGTACACACTCACCCCACGTTAAGAGAATGTGATGGAGAGGACCCCAAGAACAGGCCAAGGTTTATAGACTTTCCTTCAACCTTTGACCTTTAATAGTTTATGGATACATTCCTGATGATGGCAGGGAAATGCTCGGGAAATTCTAGAGTGTTATTTTACTTATAAAATTTTGTTTTTTAATTATTAGAAATTCATAAAAATTGCCGATTTTTATAGAAATACCACAAGTTTAAGTGATTAAGAGGACGCAAAGAAAAGGCTAAGATTTACAGACTTCCTCCAACCTTTGATCTCTAATAGTTTAGGGATACATTCCTGATGATTGCAAGGACATTTTTAATTATTTTTACTACAAATAAAAGCATTTATATTAATTAAAAATTCAAAAACATTTCAGATTTTAAGGGAAATAAGTTAAAGATGTCTTTGAAGCATTTTCTTTTTTGAAACCCCCCACTGGGTTTATTGGTTTCCTTAAAAGAAAGAAAGAACATTTCAGATTGCATTTTACAGGAAGAAGGAAAATGGAATACACACTGGGATTTACCTAACAATGTGTCACAAGAGAAAATAAGATAATCCTAGGAAAAACTATACAAATAAATAATTAAATACCCTGCAGTACCACATTTCATCAATAGGCCTTTTCATCAACAATTCATCAACGCGCCGACTGCGACGCCGACAGAACCGACGCTCTGCCGACTGCTACTTGAACCCGAACTCCCTTCGGAGACCCGAACTCCCTTCGAGTCCGATTTGTTGGTGCATGCAAAAAAAAACAAAAACAATTTGCATGGGCTTCGTTTTTTGTAGTCCGAAACAAAGTAGAAGACGCAATTAAAATAGATTCTCGAAGGTTCGACTCCATATTTTCGGAGCAGCGGTTTTCGGTTTCGTCTTGCTTCTTCTTATTCCCTTTGCATTACAAGTTGAAGTGTTCTCCACTGCAGAAGTGTCGTGTGTTAAAAATGTTAAGAAATCAAATAATTCAATAATTACGTTCCGGGCCATATTGGAATATAAAAAAAGGTGAGTAAAAAGATTGTTCTTAATTAAATAGAAGCCTATAAATGTACATATGTATATTATTTTATTTATTATATGTATATAATATATTAATATATTATATTTATATATGTACATATTATGTATGTATTTTCTTTTCAGACTGCAGTAATGGCCAATATATTGGGTAATTTTATTTAATGAAATTATATTTTCCCTTGATTAATTATAATTTTTTCTGTAGATGCAATTTCCTAAGTGACTAAAACTGAGCCTCCAGAGAAGATACTGCGCAATAAATTTGGTCTTCATGAATAGAAAGCGGAACACCAAGGATCAAAAAAACCTTAAGGCCTTTTAATATATGGATGTTTAATCTTAATTTTTTATATTTGTGTTTTAGTTTTGGTATAGAATTAGTAAGAATAAATCATATTAATAAAAATTTAAGAGTTTTATTTTTATATATGAAAAAAAAAATCATCAACAATTCATCGATGAATTGATGATGAATTGTTGATTAAAGGCTGATGAAATGTTGATGAATTGTTGATGAATCATCAACAATTCATCAACAATTCATCGATGAATCATCAACAATTCATCAACATTTCATCAGTCTTTCATCAGTAATTCATCAACAATTCATCGATGAAATGATGATTAATTGTTGATGAATTGTTGTTGATGAATGCCTATGACATGCCCATGTTAAATTCATCAGTAATTTGCATGGCCATTCATCGATGAATCATCAACAACACCCCTTCGGCTATTGATGAAACGTTGATGAATTGTTGATGAATGGTACTGCAGGGTACCTTCACCTATACATATTCTTGCATTCAAGATACAAGTTACTTTTTTTAGAACGGACGTATTAAAAATGTTTATTGGTATATTCTCTTGGCAAAAACGATACATACATAACATGGTGTACATACATATACATATAACTAGTTACTGGAACAATGCAACGTTATCAACATATTCATGGCTAGGTGAGGTGAAATGAGTTCAGGAGTAACGGCCAGGGATGGGGATGGGGTGGCTAGGGAACAGAGTCCATGAGTAGCTTAACAAACAACAGCATTAATGAACAACAACTACGTACGCTGCACACAGGACGACGAGGGTTGATCGTGGCGCATTTCCAGGTTGTACAGGACACACGTGCCTTTGCTAGTCGCGCTGGTAGGCATCCTTGCGTCTGCATATGAGTGTGTGTGTGCGGTGTGGTGTGTGCTTGGTGTATGTATAATAAGTTACTTGGCGTTTCCATGTCGGCTTTGGTGCTTAGGCGTTAGGTTTATTTAGTGCTGGCAGCTCTTAAAACTAGCGTACATATTAAAACATGAATTGCCCGATCGCTAGAGATGAATAGTTAGATGGTGGGAGTGGGCGATGATGAGGGGGAGCACTCCTGCTTAGCTTTACAATGCCTGGGTATGTATGTATACGTGAAAACTAAACAATAATACATGGTTAAATAAACGGAAGGGGATCTCTTAACACAATATTTATGCAAAAATATGCAAAGGTCACAAAACATAAGATATAATAAATTGTGGTGACTTGGGGGGGCGGGGATTGGTTGGTGGGTTTGGGTCAGGATTTTGATTGAGGCGGTCGCGTCCGCAGTATTCGTCTTTTTCATGGTGGGGCGGGAGGGGATCAGGGGTCGGGTCAGGTGCCGGGTGGCTGAAGCGTCTTAGAGCCTAACTGAAGCGTAACATTTTCAGCTCGATTTGAATTTCAATTTGGCTAAACTTGAGGGCTGTCCTACGACAGATTGCTTTCGTTCATGTCCAGGTTGCTCTGGAACAGCTCCTGGTTGGTCAGCAGCGGCACCTTGGCCACCTCGTGGAATATCTTGTGCGAGTACTTGTTCCGTATCGTCTTGATTGTGGTCCGTGGCTTGCGATGTAGTCCGGCGTTCAGCACGGGAATTATTTCGGCAAACTCTGCCAACTGATATCCCGTGTAGTATATAAGCGTTGGGGTCCAGGTCTCCTTGTCCAGCTGCCCAGCTCCGCCGTGCATGCGCAGCGCCATAAAGAGGGCGGCGGAAGCCATCTGCGAGTCGCTGAACGAAATGGTGGCGTAGTCCATCAACGACAACTCGAGGATATAGCGCGCCAACGTCAACGTGGGCATCGGCACCTTGGCGCAGCGGGCGTAGCGGCGCAGGAAGCGGTACGACAACGGGATACCCAGATCGTATTTGATAATGCGCAGCGTCTCCCGCTCCATGCGCACCAGCTCGTCGTGTTTGTAGGCCCCGTCGCAGATGTACAGAAAGTCCTCAATCAGCGGCGGCGAGCGCTCGTCGTACTTGCAGGCAATGAACAGGGCGGCGGCGCCCAGCAGCTGCAGCTTCTCCTTGTTGATCACCTCGCGGCACAGATACAGGTCAACGATCTTGACCGCCAGGTACAGAGTCTCGTGGTTCAGCTCGAACGTCTCCTGCACCTCCACCATCCAGTCGACCAGCAGTGTGCGCATCCAGGTGGTGAGGTTGACCTGACGGGGCATGTAGTCGGCAATGGGGAACTCCGGCTCGCGAGTCTTCAGATAGTTGAAGATGTCCATGGCGTAGTGGGACACCTGGAAGGGATCGTCCCAGTTCTTGCGGTCGAAATCCTCCACGCCTTGGGGCACCGGCTGAATGGGCACCACCTGGCTGGGAGCACTCTCCGGCAGTGGCAGCAACTGCGGCTGCGGCTGCTGCTCAGTCTTTAGCTGTAACTTGGCGGAGCGACGACGCGCCGCCTCGAAGTTGCCAGACAGGCGCATGGAATCGCTGCTGGAGACATCCTCCAGGGCGGACATGTATAGGCTGTCCTCAGTCTTATTGAAGTCGTTTGATATGCGGCGCACCGGCTTGATGGCGCCGGGCGGTGGTACGGCCAGGTTCTGTTTGGGCGGAAACAGCACGGGAATGGGCTGGGGAGCAGCTGGCATCGGCATTTCCTCCAAAACAGCAGTCTTTTTGGCGGCCGGCTCGGCCTTGACGCGCGGCTCAGCCTTGACGCGCGGCTTGGGCCTGGCCAATGCCTCCTCGATCTTGTCGAGCACCTTGTGGCAGTTCTCCACCGCATCATCAGACTTGCTGGAGGCGCGCGTCATCACCTTGCTGGGCGCCGCATCGGAGAAGACGTTCAAGATTAGTTTTTTGTCCTGGTTCTTGGCATCCATCAGCGCCTGCAGCTGCTGGGCCGTCGGCTTTTTGTCCATAGAGCCAGAGGCCTCCTCATCGTTACCGGGATGCAGCGACATGATCTTAACATTATTGGTGAGGTTGCCCAGCGCCGAGCGCTTGATTTTGTCGTTTTTGATGGGGCTGTGATCGGCCTTGCGCTTGGCGCGCGTCTGCATGTTCTCGGCATTGGGGTCTATGTTGGCGGCGATGCCCCTCCGGCCCCGCCGGGTGGCGGCCCCAGGGACCAGGAGTGGATTGGCGGCGGCTGGCTGCCCGACAGCCATGACCCCGCGCGTTGCCTTTGCCGGCGCCATTTTGAAATGCAGTGCTCGTTGTTGTTTGTGTGCGGCTCTAGTCCTCTGGCCGCTTTATTGCTGTTTTGCGGCGTCACTGGTCTCCTTGGCACTAGTTTCTGCAGCGGCTGTGCGGACTACTGATCTCGTTTTCAGGCTGCTAAAGCTGCTGCTCGGTCGTCGTCTCACACAAACTCACAACACAAATTCCTCGTTTCAGCTGGAGTTGTAGCGCTTGGCCGACGGCGATTGGGAGATAAAGAGCAGAAATCGAAAAACAGCGCCAGGCCAGCGTCGCTTGCGGATAGTGTGACCGGGCCAGGAAAATACCAGGGAACTATCGGTGCACCTATTGCACCGTTTGCCGCCATTGCATCCAGTTTTCAAAATAATATTTTGTGTGATTTTGGGTTTTAACTATCTGGAAAAATACAAATAAATAAAAATAATAGTAAGTAGATCAATAATTTGAAAGGATCGCGACTATAACAGCTTAAAAAGACAACCATCTTTGTGTTTCGTTTATAAATGTTTATAAAATGTTCATGTTTGTTGAGAAGAAAAATATTTTAGGTAGTTTTAGCTGTGTTTTTTTGAAAAATAATGTTTCTATAAATTTTTTTTTGTTTGTTAGCTTTAGCTGTGGTTTTTTCAAGAATATTTTTATAATTTTTTTTTTTTTTTTTTTTTGAGGGTTACTCCCTGCCCGAAGTGAAGGAAGATTTATATTTTTTAATAAACTTTTACTACTGTATATCTACTATTCACCCGATATTTAAGATAGACTAAAAGTTACTGAATACGATAGGGGGCAGGTTCGATTTTGACAAATTACGAAAGGCCAGCATTCGGATTGTTCTTAATTAAATACATTAAATAGCCAGCGTTGATTTTTCTGTTTGATTTATAATAAAACAAATATTAGCCCAAGACTATAAAGCAAATTTCCTTTAATAACTTGAAAACTTAAAATAAGATTGTTAATGTTGGGTTATTTTTGATCTTTCATTTCAAAACACATATTCAACGTTTCCTTTAGTGGGAATGTAAAAAGATTATTAATTAATTTTGGGTTATTACCGGTTTTATTAGTCTTCCATTTCTAAACACGTATTCAACGATTCCCCAAGGGAGAAGGTCAAAAAATCAAAACCTTATTATTCCCCGTAAGTATTTATAATTAATGTAGAATACGTGATAAAAAGGATATTACTATTATTCGATGTAGTAAGAAAGTTATAGCGCTTAGAAGGAATGCTCTGCTGTAGAGTTTCTTTCAAAACAATGTTTTTCAAACTTATCCCCAACGCATCTCAAAAACGGCTTAACCTTTAAGCTTCATCAGGTGAGAAAGTAAAAATCAAAACGCACAGAGCTTACACACAACTGTTTATTTAATTGTTAAACAAAATATATAATATATACGCTTTCATGTATGTATCAGTTTGCTGTAAAACTAATGATTATATATAGGCATATTTAATATTAAATTTATTCAATGTTTCTTTTTGCTTTCTAAACAAACATATTCAAGTAGTCACACAATGTCTTGCTAATGGTTGATCGAAGAGATATATGTATTTTCATAGGCATGCGTAAAGCTAACTGCATAATTATGGCTTGCTTCATGGGCATGACAAGTTGAAGGTTTGGGGGAAACGCTCACGCAGTCAGTCACACAACCGTTCAGACGCACACATGTACTAGAGACAACTTATAGTTAGGAGTAGGAGAAATTTACAAACAAAATACAAGAATAATAGCAGTATGCGTTGCAAAAATTTTTAAAATTTATAAATAATTACAGTAAGCAGCTTGGTCTGAAGTCTACAAGGGGCAGGGGAGATGGAAAATCGTCGTCGTTCACATACATTCGTTATTCTTCTATACTTACAATTGTATACATATTTCTATAAATTAAGTATGCTAAAAATACAATAACTTATTTTGCTCTCTCTCTCTTTCTTTCTCTCTCTTTATCTAATAAAAACAAGTTCGCGAACAACAAAAGGGCAAATAAAAACAAAGGACAATGAATTTTGAATCTATGTCAAAGGGTCGGGGCCCCAGCCAGCATTCTCGTGTTTACATTTACGAATCTCATAAGTTTTGCAAAAAGGACAGAAGCTTCGTTTCGTAATTTTTATTCGATTCCAGATTACGCAGCGAGTGTCTCTCCTCGGGGAACACATGTAGATCGTACGGCTTGTTGGCCTTGTTCAGGGCGCTGATCAGGCGGGAAGTGTGGTAGAAGTGCACGTTCTCGTCGATCAGGCCGTGGATGAGCAGCAGACGGTTGTCCCTGAAAGAGAAATAGTTTGTGAAATCAGAATAAACGAAGCCTAGTTTATTGAGAACTTACTCTTCGGGAAATGAGTTGATGTATTTGAGCACCGAACCGGCCGAGTAGCCGGCCTCATTGTGCTGGGGCAGATCCATGTAGCGCTCCGTGTAGCCCGTGTCGTAATACTCCCAGTTGGTGACGGGCGCCCCGGCAATGGCCACCTTGAAGATCTTTGGATACTGGACTAAGCCCATTAGACTTAGGTAGCCACCTGTTTGAATAAATTACAAACATTGAATACACTTGCATTATTTATACATTGTGCGAACGGGCAACCTTTGAGAGCGTACATAAATGAATTCGACTAGAAGGCTGTGTTTTTACATTTAATTAAGACTTTAAGGTTAATATCAGCTAATCATAATGTTTAGCTGGCTCTGACTGTATAAAAGCAGCAGCTTTTGACTTCTTTAAAATAAATGTAAAATGGCTTTATATAAAACTCACTTTTTAAGAGTATATTTGATATGTTTTTATAACAAAAATTATATAAAAAAGAAAGGAAACTACGAAATTTGTATACCCATGAATCATGGCTCATGGCATCCAATCAAAAATCGATCAAAACTCGGCCAAAAAGTCATTATTTTAGTTAGGAAAGCTATTCTATGCTAGGTTAACAATAATGTAAACTGAATTTTTTATTAAACAATATTCTTTTTTTCTTAATTTTAATGTACATTGTTAAAATTAAAATCGTTAATTCAATTCAATAACCTTTTTATATGTTTTTTTTTAAGTCTAAGAAATCTACTTACTAATTATTTTAATTTAAGATATCAAAATTGTTGACAGTTTAACGAAAATTTCGAATACCATTTCTTTTTTTTTGACAAATGAATGTTTTAAAAACCCATAACTAAGTCAGAAATGTATTAATTTCAATTTAGAATGCTGTTCTGTTCATTGCCCTGCAAACTCCTGACTAAAATTATAAAACCCTGCAAGGCAATCCTTTGTCATAGGTACAACAGCACATAGAAAGGTATTAAAGGGCTTTGAATGCTTTAAATATCGAGTATTGTTTTTTAAATCAAAAAGCTAACTCTAAGAAAACAACCTCTTTCATTTACAGCTGTGAAACTTACCGTAAGACCAGCCATGTATGGCCACACGATCCATGTCGATGTAGCCCAGCTGGTCGGCCAAAATGCGCAGAGCGTCCACTTGATCGGTCAGCTCCACCTGACCCATCCGTCCGCGAATGTGGCTCTCGAATCTCTTGCCACGATGGCGTGATCCGCGCGAGTCTATGCAGATAACGCAGTAGCCCTGAGCGGCCAGCATATGCATGCGTAGTTGATGCTTGCCCTGTGAGGGTGAATTAAAACCAAAGGTTACTTTCTAATCAAAGTCCAATCACTGCTTTTTATACCCACCTTGAATGTATTGTTAACGGTCTGCACCTCCGGTCCTCCGTAGACATTGAGCACCGTGGGGTACTTGACTCCCAGCTGGAAATTGTGCGGCTTGAAGACCATGGCGTATACGATATCGCCAGACGGTAGCTGGGGTCGGAAGATCTGCGGGCAGTACTGCGGCTCGGGCTTACCGCCCTCATGCAGGTAACCCACCAACGAAATCTGGATGCCGTTGACTCCGCCGTTCTGACATGTCTGGTTCACGCGCATCACCTTGCAACTGGGCAGCCGCTGGATGTTGCAGTACACTAGCAGCATGAGCTGGCATTGCTGGAAGCACACAGGAAGGGAATATTACAATTTGTAAAATCCAAACTTGCAAGGTTACCCACATCATCGAACTCTACAAGATAAGAGTATCCAGGCTCCGTGAGCAGACGGATGTGCTCTGGCCGCTGCAGGCTGACCACATAGAGGTGCTTCTCCAGCGGAGTGTCGCGCAGTCCCACAAAGTATACCAGCTGGTTGGCTTTATCCACCCAGAGGCTTCTGGCCAGCACCTCCCATTCGCCGCTGGTCAGTGCGACCTTGTTGAGGATGCGCGGCTGCAGTGCCGACTGCTCAACGAAGCTAGGCTGAGCTGAGGCCGATCCCGCCTCCGATTGACCGTTCGCATGGTTCAGCAACAGGCTGGCGGTGACCAGATAGAGATGCCGGAAACCCGTCTCCTCAGAGGCCCAAAGGAAGGTGACACTCGTATCGTCCAGCTCCAAGAAGTGAAGCATATCGTGCACGTTTATCCAGCTCTCGGATTGCTCCGTATAGATCACTTGCAGGGGCGTGATCGTGCGGCTGTAGAGACTGCGCCAGCTATGATCGCCTATGGAGTCTGTTGGCGTCGACACCTGACTGCTGTACGACTCGCAGAAGTTGTCCAGCGGTATAAGGATTACATCCAGTCGCTGCTGCTTCCTGTCCAAGCCCTGCACCCAGACACTAGAAATAAAGGGAACAAGGCATTAAAATTAATGTATGCTAATAATCATTATTAATACAAAACAATATATCATTTCGATTAGCGGTTATGGTTATGGTTAATTCGGTGCAAAATGGGCCATTTTTTCAAAAACTTGTTGTGGTGAAACGGCTAAAGTTAGCTTATTCAATTAAATACCAATAACACAACAATTAAACCATTATTCGATAGTTCTTAAAATATAAAGGATACAATTTCTTCCCATATACTCACTAGTTGGCATCCGGTGTCCAGCCGACACGCACTATGTACTCCAGCCAGGGAAAGACTGCCAGCAGCGAGTAGGGAAGGTCCTTGATGGCAATCTCGCTAATCTGCAGCGCTTCGTTCAAAACAAACTGGACGAGCTTGAGCTTGGACTTGGCATTGGGGCTTCCGGTGCGCGGGAAACGGTACTCATCCACCCGACCATGCACGGCCGTCGACGAGGGGAACGTGTACAGTGATACCTCAGTTTCGTCCACCTCCTCGTACACGATACGATAGATGCCGTCGTCGGAGTGCGGTTGCCACCAGAAGCCCTGATACCGGCTGAACTCCTCCTGCATCACATACGAGGGCACGCCGGCGCTTAGAGCGTCGTCTGCATAAGAGTGCCGGCCGCTGCTGGTGTAGGTGAGCCGCTTCTCGTGCCCGCTCAACGTGTGGGTGACAAACAGGTCACAGTCACTGATGTAGGCTATCATGTCGGAGTTCTGCGGGCAAATCTGCGGATCCAGCGCTGTCCACTGTGGACAGGTGCGCAGTTGTGTGGGAAACAGCAGGCCAGACTGTTGTGGGTGAAAGACAGAACATAATGTCAATGAAACGAGGCCATCCCGCTGGGTCTTAACTCACATTATAGCCCGTGTCCAGACACTGGTAGAGGTCGTTGAAGCAGGCAAAGACCAGCTTGCCCGAGGGCTTGTGCAATTCGTAGCAGGTGATGCCCCAGGTGGAGAGGCGCTTGCGCTCTTGCAGCAACTGAAACTCGCGGGCATAGGGACTGGCGGAGCCACTGCCACCGCTTCCCCCACTGCTTTGAATAGGCTGCTGCAGCAAGGGACTCCACGATAGGCTGGAATCAAACAGAATTGATCTATTAGTTCCCTGCGAAGATGGTCAAGAAGTCTCCACTTACCGAGGTTTGACCAGCGTCCCGAAGTGGAAGGCTCCATGCTGACTGCTGCTGCTGGTTGGGGATCCAGCACTTAGAGTTGGACTCCCAGCACCAGACTCGCCCTCCAAGCGCTGCACCACTAGCTGTTGTTCCTCCGTCTGGAGCAGATTAATGTCCGCAAAGAGCAGCGTTGTCTCCCAACTCTGGGGCGGAGTGCCCAGGAAGTAGCACCGCGCACGGCCGTCGGACAGGTGGCGGAACTGCACGTTGGTGGGCACCATCGAGGACAGGTTGCACATCTTCTTTCGCATCTCCTGCACCACCTGCTTGTTTTCCGCCCAGCTTTTGTTGGGCGTTGGAGCCGCAATGTGTCCATCATTGTCCACACCATCATCGTCCTCGTCCTCCTCGCAATCGTCGCAGTCGTCGTCACCCTCGTCCCCGTCCAGGCCGTGTGGCGGTGTTCCACTCGTGGGCGAACTGAGATGGTTGGTGATCACCGAGGCGGCGGCTGCCACCACTTCTGTGGTTGTGGCCGTGGCCGCTGCGGCAGCTGCTGTAATGGGTGAGGTGATCGAGTTGAGGGCACTGCCTATGGAGGAGTACAGTGCATTGGCTGTCGTACCCAGCGATCCCATGCTGGTAAGGCTGGCTATTGAGTGCGTGGAGCCAGGCGTGCTGCCGGCGCTCTGGATGCTGCGGTCCATCAGCATGTTGGAGCTCGTTCCGCCAGCCACACTCACCGCCGTCGACACACGGGCCGTGAAGCCGTCCAGGAGATTCACAAAAGACGTAGCCGCCGCATTTGTGATGCTGTGGCTGCGATGGTGGCCTCCTCCCCCATTGTTGTTGTTCCTGCCCATCTGAGATTGTGGCTGCTCCTGCTCCAGGCCCATCAAGGTGTTGTTGCTATTCGCATTGGGGCCGCCACTGAGGTTTACGCTGAGCGGAGGACTGGGCGACGAGGGCAGGCGACTCCTCTGCTGCTGCTGCTGCTGTTGGTTCACTTGGGTCCTGCCCTCCATAATGGGATTTTCGCTGACCCAATTCAGAGGCCTCGGACCACGTACACACACAAAATTTCGGCCTCTTCTTGGACAGCTGAAACGTACTCACGCACACACTCTCGCTGGAGCAGGCACACACACACCCGCAGAGGCACCGTACACGCTCACACGCTGGCCGTTGGTTTGTTGTTATTTTGCTTCGCCTTTACCGTGCGCGATGTGATGATTCTGGCTGGGATTCCGCTCCGAATGGTTCCCTGCTTCTAACCGATTCTCACTGCACTCTGTGGCCTGCTGTCCGCTCTGGTATTTTCCACACTCATGCTGCCTCGGCTCTTTGCTCTTCGTCTTTTGTTGCTGCGCTGTGTTGTTGTTCTTTTTTGTGCGAAATGTAAAAGTGAAAGTCCGGACGGAGCGACAGGCAAGTCGCTGAGCACTTAAGGTTCTCAGCGGCGACTCGTTTTGGGGAGTGTGCAGGTGCTCAATGCGAAATCGAAATGATTGATCTAATTGTTTTCATTATTCGGGCCACGAAACTGCAGGTAAATCAAAAGAATGCACGAATGATATACGATATAAAGTGCCCGTGCGGGATTGGGTTGGCGTCGTGCTTCGGTCACACTGAAGCGGCGTTTTCAGAGATCGCATTGCAGCCTAGAGATGTGCGAAATTTTTGTAGAATCATTAAGCGATACATCGCGTAGCCAAAATACACATAAAAAATTTTTAAGCTTTTTTTGAATGTAAAAAATTTATCTTAAAAATTTTTCAAACATAAATTACTGCAATTTATTTGTTATTTTTTAAATTATTTTTTTCATTAATAAAATAGTTATTATTTCAAATATATTATTCTATAAACATAGTTTAATATGACATTTATTTTTTAAACAAAATTAATGAAATACAAATAATATGTTATCTTATTTTCATATAAAATTTTCGACATATTTTTTACAAAAATAAAACTCAAGCCCCTACGAATTTTCAATTTAAAAATATCTGTGTTGTTGTTTTATTTTTCTACGGTACCAAAAATATTGTTTTACGTTTGATAATATAAAATAAAGTGTGAAACAAATACAAATTCGGTGCACTATTATTTACTACCCGGGTCCATGAAGTCCAAAAATTAATTTAAATTTTCGCGGTCAATTCAAATAATCGATAATGTTCGATTTTCCTAGAGCCGCTGTCTGGCAACACTGTGTACCCGATTGATTTATCGACTATATCGTAATTTGTAAGTTTAAACAATTAAGCTAATAGCTTAAAAGTAAGCTATTTAAGCTATTTTAGTGAAAATAATTAACAGGAAATTAACCCATTGGGAGCCAGTGCGTTTAACAATTACATAAACAAAAGCTATCGGAGGCGGCAACAGGTGGTTTTGGTTCCCTGAGGAATACACGCGTTCCAAAACGTGCAGGTTTTGTTTACCTTGATTAGTTTAAATTGGCTTCAATTAACCCAAGGATGATGCGTAAAGTGCCACTGATTGTGATCCTCGGCTCCACGGGCACTGGCAAAACGAAGCTCTCCCTGGAGCTGGCTGAGCGCTTTGGCGGCGAGATAATTAGCGCGGATTCCATGCAGGTTTACACCCACCTTGACATCGCCACCGCCAAGGCCACAAGGGAGGAGCAGGCTCGGGCGCGGCATCACCTGCTGGACGTGACCACTCCGGCGGAACCCTTCACAGTCACCCATTTTCGCAATGCCGCCCTGCCTATCATTGAACGCTTGTTAGCCCAGGCCAAGCCCCCCATTGTGGTGGGCGGAACCAATTACTACATAGAGTCATTGCTGTGGGACGTGCTTGTGGACGCTCAAGAGAAGCAGTCGCCAGGTAGTCCCCTGGCAGAGCTTAAAGAAGGCGAGTTAGGTGCCATGTCCACCGTGGAGTTGCACAAACACCTGGCAAAGATCGACGCCGGCAGTGCCAACCGCATTCACCCCAACAACCGGCGCAAGATCCTGCGAGCCATCGAAGTCTATCAGGGTACGGGGCAGACGCTGACCGAAAAGCTGGCAGAGCAGCGTGGGCAGCCCGGCGGTAATCGCTTGGGCGGGCCCCTGCGCTATCCCCACACCGTTCTCCTATGGCTTCGCTGCAATCAGGAGGTGCTAAATGCCCGCTTAGATGCCCGCGTTGACGGAATGCTGGAGCAGGGACTAATAAAGGAGCTGCGGCTCTTTCACAACACCCACCAGGGGATCACGGTCCAGGCCTATACCTCGGGTGTTCTGCAGACCATTGGCTACAAGGAGTTTGTGCCCTACCTCATGAAATACAACCAGCAGCAGGACGATAAGATTGAACAGTATCTGAGGACGCACAACTATAAACTTCCGCGTCCAGAAGAACTGAAGGAGGAGGATAGTCTGCCTGAGGGGTTGCACCTCCTACGCAGCTGCTGCGATGAGCTGAAGCTGGTCACTCGTCGCTACTCGAAAAAGCAGCTAAAGTGGATCAACAATCGCTTTCTGGCTAGCCGAGATCGCCAAGTGCCGGATCTCTACGAGCTGGACACCAGTGATGTCTCTGCCTGGTCCCAGACTGTGTATCAGCGAGCCGAGTCCATTATAGAGAGTTATCAAAACGGAGACATCTGTGAGATTGAGCCCATGGCCAAGAGGGAGCATCCCGGAGCAAACCTAGATGAGGAAACCAGTAACTTTTGTGCCATCTGTGAGCGGCACTTCGTGGGAGAGTATCAATGGAGCTTGCACCTCAAATCCAACAAGCACAAACGTAGGAAAGATGGGCAGCGCAAGCGGGAGCAATTAAGTCAGAGGCAAAGCCAAGGGGAAACGGGTGAGGAGGAGGCTAAGCCAAGACACTGAAACTGATAAGGTGTTGTAAACCAGAGGAGTCTGCTTGGAAAAATAAACGAACCTACGTAAATTTGAGTCATTTGTTGTTGTTTTGAGTCCCACCAGCGATCGGCTGCTGATGCAAGCGATTCGAGGAGTATCCGATAACCCTACACCTCGCTAATGGGGACCGTAGACCGCAGGGGAGGTCGTTGCCTAGCCAGAAAAAGCGAAAACGCGAAAACATGTTTGTGCACTGCTCCCCAAGCATCCAGCCCACTGACACTCGTCTCGTCTTTCATTTGCATTTCAGTCGCCCAGCGTATTGGACGTGGAAACCAGAAGATCTAGACAATCATTATGAGTTCCAAGAAGATTGGTAAGACAGCTAGGATTATTCAAGCCGTTTTATTCTAATCTCTGATTTATTGTTACTTCTACAGCTCTCCTAAGCGTGTCGGACAAGACGGGACTGCTCGATTTGGGCAAGAGTCTGGTGGCCCTAGGCTTCGACTTGGTGGCTAGCGGCGGCACGGCTACCGTCCTGCGCGGCGCTGGCCTCAAGGTTAGGGATGTCTCTGAAATTACGGGAGCTCCAGAGATGCTGGGTGGACGCGTGAAAACGCTGCATCCGGCCGTGCACGCTGGTATTCTTTCGCGAACCACCGACAGCGATCTGGCTGATATGCGCAAGCAGGGCTTCGATCTTGTCCAGCTGGTCGTGTGCAATCTGTATCCTTTCGCCAGCACCGTTGCCAAAACTGATGTGACGCTGGCCGATGCTGTGGAGAACATCGATATCGGTGGAGTGACTCTGCTCCGCGCGGCGGCCAAGAATCACCAGCGAGTCACGGTTGTCTGTGAGGCCATTGACTACGACCGTGTGCTGACCGAGCTGAAGGCTTCGGGAGATACCACAGTGGAGACCCGGCAGGCCCTGGCCCTCAAGGCCTTTACCCACACGGCAAGCTACGACGACGCCATCTCGGACTACTTCAGGAAGCAGTATGGATCGGGTGTGTCCCAGCTGCCGTTGCGCTACGGCATGAATCCGCACCAGAAGCCCGCCCAGTTGTACACGCAACTGGCCAAGCTGCCGCTCCAGGTGCTCAACGCCTCGCCCGGATTCATCAACCTGTGCGACGCCTTGAATGGCTGGCAGTTAGTCCGGGAGCTGAAGCAGGCCTTACAGCTGCCGGCGGCCACTAGCTTTAAGCATGTGTCTCCGGCAGGAGCTGCTGTAGGCGTTCCCCTCAATCCCGCCCAGGCCAAGCTCTGCATGGTGGACGATCTGTACGAGCAGCTTACTCCCTTGGCCACGGCCTATGCCCGTGCCCGTGGAGCCGATCGCATGAGCTCCTTTGGCGACTTTGTTGCTCTCTCCGATGTGTGCGATGTGGTCACAGCCAGGATTATCTCACGAGAGGTTTCCGATGGAATCATAGCCGCTGGCTACGAGCCTGAGGCTCTGGAGATTCTGAAAAAGAAGAAGAACGGCGGATACTGCATTTTGCAGGTAAGGCTTATCTTTAATTTAATGACACTCTTAGCTAACTTCTCCACTTTCCTTCCAGATGGACCCCAACTATGAACCTTCTGCCGTGGAGCGCAAGACCATTTTTGGCTTGACGCTGGAGCAAAAGCGCAACGACGCCGTCATTGGCCCCTCGCTCTTCGCGAATGTGGTGAGCAAGAAGGGACCCCTGCCCGAGGCAGCTGTGCGTGATCTGATCGTGGCCACCATTGCCTTGAAGTACACACAGAGCAACTCCGTGTGCTATGCCCGCGATGGCCAGGTGATCGGCATCGGTGCTGGCCAGCAGTCAAGGATTCACTGCACTCGCCTGGCGGGCGAGAAGGCGGACAACTGGTGGCTGCGTCAGCATCCGAGTGTGGCCGGCATGAAGTTTAAGGCGGGCGTCAAGCGGGCAGAGATCTCCAATGCGATTGACAACTATGTGAATGGAACCGTGGGCAAGGATATGCCGCTCTCACAGTTTGAGGGGATGTAAGTAGACGGGTTATAGAAAATATTATAGACGTTTTTACAAATATGAATGTCTGATAGGTTCGACAAGGCGCCGGCGCAGTTGACCAGCGAACAGAAGGTGCAGTGGCTCAAGGAGCTCAGCGGTGTGGCCCTGGGATCTGATGCCTTTTTCCCCTTCCGGGACAACATCGATCGCGCAAGTCTGGTAAGTAATTTGTCTTATTGTATTTTCTGTATCCATTGTTTTGACCTGACTTGCATTCGCAGAGCGGTGTCTCCTACATCGGCAGTCCCGCCGGTTCCACCAATGACGCTGGTGTCATTGCTGCCTGCGATGAGCACGGCATTATTATGGCCCACACCAACCTGCGCTTGTTCCATCATTAGCAGCTGCCTCCAGTATCCTTCCCAGCTTGCTTTTTCAACAAAATGGAAACTAACAGACATTTATATATTATATAATATACTTTTGATACATTTTTTAGGAACATAAGACCCAGACAGCTCAAATCCTTTAGATATACAAAGTTTGTAAAACGAAAACCCAAACGCAACTGCCCCAACTCTTCATTCCAAGCTGAATAAAAATTAAAAACACTTGCCTTTAGTTAGTTAAACGAACGCTTCCTTCGACTAAACACTATTTATTTCAATAATTAGTTTCTATTGAATGTACAGTTCGAGAGGCTGGGCCATCGGTCATTCAAGTTCCAGATCCTGGCCAGCTGCAAGTCGCCCGGAATTCAGCCTACCGACTGCGCTGCTTGCGACAGGCACCACGGCAATTGCACAAAAAGACAATGAAGGTGACAAAGAAGACGAGCACCGAGGCCAGGACCAGGGCCATCGATGTGGTCTGGTCGTAGCTGGGCGTTGGATCCAGCACATGCTGCTGGGGCAGCAGCTCGAAGTCGACTAGCACTTGGGTGCCGTTGGGCGGCGGGCAGGGCTGCTGCACAATAATCTCCTGGTGCTGAACCTGCAAGTTAATCAATTTGAATTAATTAATTTTAACAAAAACTTAGGCTGAGACCCACCTGCTTGTTGCGGCACAGCTGCAGTCCGGCGGAGTTGGACAGGGTCTCGGCACTGTACTCATCCTGGACCAGGACAGGCAGCAGCCAGCGTTCCGGCGATACGAACTGTAGCCAGGACCAGAATTTGGCCAGGTTTTGCGGATGCACCAGATACCCGCCCACCGCGGCCAATGCCAGGCTAATCAGCCCGTTGACAATGCTGGCCGAGACCTTGCAGGGCAGCAGGTGGGCGCAGAACAGGGCCAGCGTCTGGATGAGCGTCAAGTAGAGCAGCATGTAGCCTGGAAAAGCGAATAAATATTGAAATTGTTGAGGTAACTACAACAAAGATCTCTTACCCATATATAGGTAGATGCCAGTGTCGCTGCTGTTGGAGTAGGTGTAGAGTCCTGCCATGCTGTGGGCCGGCAGCAGATATGCAAGCCAAATGCACAGGCTGGGAAACAGGCCAAGGAGACTCTGCCGAAACAAAGTGTTTATTAAGTATTTTACATCCCACGCATAATTCATAAAACCTCTCACCTGCACTATGATGTAGAGGCTACGGGTGTAAAGCCCCAAGCGGATATCCCGCTCCGCATGCCGGCGATCCTCCTGCGTGTCCCGGATGGTGAGCATGACCAACGGCCAATAGACCAGCACCATAACGCAGTGGTGATAGCCCAGTCGATCGTGATAGGTCAGCTGCGGATCGGAGGCGGGCACGTCCCAGAAGATGCAGCCAATGCATAGCGAAAGCACGGCGGCGGCGATCAGCTTGCTGATCCAGGTGAGCAGTGATCCCGGCTGCTTGTAGCCGGCGAACCGCTTGATCAGTGCACTGATCTGCCCAAAAAAGCCGGCCTTCAGCGTGAAGTTGGGCAGTGAGGCGGGCGGGGCGGCGAGCGGTGGCTCCGAATTGATCTGATCCCAGGCGTTCGCCAGTGATTCGATGCGGGCCGAGGACTCCAGCATGGCTGCGGCCGACAGGTCATCCAGGGTGACCAGGTCCACTGGTGGAAGATTATAGTTATAAAGTAAATGTTACGATAGAAAAAATACCCATGTTTACTCACAGTAATAATCCGCTGGGTTCTTGAAGGGCGGACACGGATAGCCTAGTTCGCCCATGTGTCGCGGCAGATCTGCACGACTGCCGGAGAAGACGGTCCTGCCGCCGGAGAGCAATAGTACCCCGGAGCACATGGACAGGATCTCGAAGGTGGGTGGCTGCAGCGTCATGATCACTATGCGACCACCGCTGCACCACTGCCGCAGGTATTCCACCAAGAAGAAGGTGTCGAAGATATCCATGTTGCTGGTGACCTGGTCCAGGATCAGCAACGAGGACTGGGCCAGCAGCTGGCAGGCCACGCTCAGGCGCTGCTTCTCCGAGTGCGTCAGCGTGGACACATTGGAGGCACGCACCGTGTTCAGGCCCAGATCCTCAATTAGCACATCCATGCGCTCCTCCAGATCGCTGCGATCCAGGGGGCCCCGCAGTGCGGCATGGAAGTTCAGGGTGCATTGGACACTCATACGCGGGTCCAGGGAGGAGACCTCCAGAGCCGGGACATAGCTACACAGCTCTCGAAGACCGCGGCGGTTCACTTGCTGCCCATTGATAAGGATCTCGCCGCCCAGCCGCTCACTCAAACCGGCCAGACACTCCGCCAGGGCACTGCCCTCCCTTTGGGAGGTGGCCATAATGGCGAACAGGTCGCCGGCCTTGGCCTGCATGGACACTCCGCGCAGGCAGGGATTAACATCCAGACAATGCACCTGGATGTTCGGGTAAATTAGGCCCATGCCCGACTGCTTCCGGCCGTGGCTGAGTCCGTTTGCATTTCCGTTTCCATACTGCCTAGAGCTGCCATACAGCCTGGCCTCGTGGTAGTCGTAGCCCAGGCCCCCGCCATCATGGCCCAGACCGGCGCCCAGCAGATCCGCCTCGCTGTGCGACCTGTGCCCGTAGTGCTTCCCGTTGCCCATGTACTGCTGCTGGTGTTGCTGCATCTGGTGGTGGTGGTGCTGGCCCACCGCTATGCTGGCCCGACTGTTGGCCTGGCGCAGAGCAGCCGCCGGCACGCCGCCCTGTCCTCCTCCGCCTATCTGGGCCCGTGATTCTGGGCGCGAGTGCGGCATTCCTCCGATGGCACGGAAGTCGGACTCGCTGCGATACTTCCGGAGATTGGGCGGCACCCGGCTTCGGGTCGTCTCGTTGTCACTGCTGTCATAGCCGCTGCTGCCGGCGCCGGCCGGAGCTCCCGAGCTGTCCCGGAAGGCACGATTCACACGGCCACGCACTCCGCCCAGAGCACTGGAACCGCCGCCGTGACCTGGCCCTGAACCGGGACCCGGACCCGGACCAGGTCGGTGGGAACGCTGCGATCCGGCGTTGGGCGGAAAGACTCGTGGCAGTCCAAACTTCAAGTAGGTGTACATATTGGAGCCCAGGGGAGATCTGAGAAGAAAATATAGAGAATTAGCATAGCCAAAAAATATTTGTGATGAGGTGCCTGAAAATATGAAGATACTAGCAAAATTTTCACTGACGAGATCGAAAGGTAATTATTAAGTTAAATATTAATTAAGATAAATATTTATCAAACACGTTTCGGAAGAAATTCATATTATAACTAGCTGAAGAAGAGCTCTCTCAAAAAATAACTTATGAAAAATCTCCCTTTTAAAAATACGTTCAACATAAATCTTAACGCGACTTCTAGCTCTGTTTGTGGAGAAGATGTAATACCTAAAAGCTGATATCATGTTTTAGCATTGTTAACGCCTGATTATGTTTAATAATTGCTTATTTAAATAATTTGCGGGATTACTCACTTGGGCCCGTAGCGCGGATGATTTAAGATTGATTGCACTGTGGTGTCGCGTAGCTGGAAGTTTCCATATGGCAGCGGTGATTTGTCCGACGAGCCCAGAGCCGAATCGGTGAAGTCAGAGTTCAGGTTTTGCCTGTGAAGAGGAGAGTGAGGCATTTATGGAGGGGATGGAGAGCGTAATCAGGGTGCCTGCTGCAGTTGCGGTCAGCTGGACATGATTGGGGGGCTTGTCCGAGTTCAATTAGCTCTTTATGGCATCTGAACTTCCGCTTTTTGCGGTTAAATCAACCGTCAAAAGTCCAATAGACAGGTGCGGCAATGACGACGCACACCCATGTCTGCAGTTGGAAGGGAGTTGTCCGACTCACCTGTAGATGGACCAGGCGTGCAGGTCTTCGGAAGCCGCCGGCGGCAGCGGGGTATTGGGTCCGTGGGGCACCGAGTAGCGCCGCTCCTCGCGTGACATCTTCTTGCTGTTGGAAAAGTTGCTCAGCTCCATGGTCTGCAAGTATTCGAAGTCGGAGCAGCAGGTTAGAGAGTTCGGGCCAAAAGCTTAAGCTAATTCCAAGTCAAACTGGGTCAAGAATGCCGCGAGAATGGCTGTGCTATTATTACTCATAATTTGCGGGAATTAGCCTAATGACAATGCCCACATATATCCACAGATCCACACATCAACACGCAGTCTCAGTCGGAGTTTGGCATCGGAATTGGAGTCACAGTCGCAGTGGCAGTCGCAGCCATTGTTATGACAAAAGCGGAAATTGTGTTGGATATGAGTACGAAGCGAACTTGAGACACCCTAACAATAACCTAATAAATATTCTATTAAATTCTCAAGTAACCTTAAAGCTTTCAGTCTTATTATTTATTATTTATTTAAAATTTATTAAAACAGTTATAAGCATACATTAGGTTAGGGTTTATGATAAGTTTAAGCAAACTTCTAGTAGTACCCAATCCATAGGTTCTCTTGTCATGTTGCCAACTTGATATCTTCTTTGGGCATCTTAACCTGAGCAGGTGCACTTAAGCCCGCCAAGACAATGACACCTAATCGGGTGTTGTCTTTCAGATTGCCCAGTTCTTGGGTCTTGCGTTAAGCAAATCCAAATTGCCGGTCGGGAGAACAAAGCGCAGCTGATTTCGACACGGCCCCTTGGTTTTTAATTGCCATAGACCAAAAAAATAGAAAAAACCCACCAAAAACTGAGAAAAACCCATGCAAATGAGCCACAAGTCAGAAAATGTTGTTTGCTGTGTTAACTATTTGCTTTAGTGCCGCTGCGGCGGCATTATGCAATCGAATGAAAGGCAAACAAACTAGTGCACCTGCCCCAGACGCTGTCGCCGGATTGTGCACTTGGATTGCGGAGCAGCCAGGCGTGCGGACTTCCGTTTTGGCATTGGGATTACGTAGTCAAGAGTTCTACGAGTGCCAGCGAGTGCCCAAGATCCACGGCGAAAGTGAGTGGTCCATGCTCCAATATTGCCTTTGCAATTGCAAGATGCCAGGCGTTCCGACTTTCGTGAGGCTGAAATTGCGAATGGGACGTGGGGAGGTGGGGCGGAGCCCAGAAGAAAGCTGGGATTACGGCACGCCGAGAGTGCTTTCGCCCAGCTTAAACTGCCGATTATTATTATATGTATGTGTGTCTGGCGGCGTACTAACACTTTTAATTGCGTGCTAAATTCACTTTAATTAAAATCGCTTGTGGCATAATCGCATAAACGGATTTTC